GGTTGGTGATTGGTCAGTGATTGGTCGGTGAGTGGTCAGTGATTGGTCGGTGAGTGGTCGGTGAGTGGTCGGTGAGTGGTCGGTGATTGGTCGGTGAGTGGTCGGTGAGTGGTTGGTGATTGGTCAGTGATTGGTCGGTGAGTGGTCAGTGAGTGGTCAGTGATTGGTCGGTGAGTGGTCGGTGAGTGGTTGGTGATTGGTCGGTGATTGGTCGGTGAGTGGTCGGTGATTGGTTGGTGAGTGGTCGGTGAGATTCGGACGAATGTATGCCCCATTTCCCGTCAACCAGTCGAGCAGAAACTTGACAGATGAACGGATTATCGTTGACAAGACAAAGTTCCAGCTCCATCCCTACAACAGAACTCAACCCCAACAGCTCCATCCCTACAACAGAACTCAACCCCAACAGCTCCATCCCAAAACAGAACTCAACCCCAACAGCTCCATCCCAAAACAGAACTCAACCCCAACAGCTCCATCCCCACAACAGAACTCAACCCCAACAGAATCAGTTTTTCCAAGGGAAACATGAAGGGAAATTCCCGATAACTGCGTGACATGAGATTCTTTAAAAAAATATCTATAGATTATATCGGATATCGCACGTGCGTTCAGTGCGTAACATTTCCTTTTGTTTTTCTGAACTAGTTGGTGCAATAAATCGACGATGTAAAATCGGGTGGGTCAATAGCATATTAATATTTTTTAAAAATACAATGGCGATATGCATGTGAGACGGTACTGGGTAAGTGAAATGGGCACTCTTGTGTTTGTAGGAAAACTTAAAATGGGACATTTTTGGAACTTTGTCTGGGATATTGTTAGAGCTGGGTCTTGGACATTGTTCTTGATTGAATTGGGATATTTTTGTTCTAGAACTCACACGTAAAAGATTGCATTAAAGGTGCCCTAGCGCAAACGATTGACTTGTTTTGATATGCCAGGTACTCTTTCATATGGACGCGTTTACTGACCCTGATTGCGCCAATTGCAAATGTCACAATGGTAACCAAGTTTGTTACGGCTGCTTTGCGTGATAGTGGTCAAGTGAGTATATCAACACTAAACTGGTTAATGCTTCAAAAACAACAAACTAAATAAAACGAATATCCTGGTACCATTACGTCATCTTTATTAACGTTCCTAAATATATCTTATTTAAAAATGATATAGATTAATTCCATAATCCTAAATCTAAAACAGCCAGCAGAAGAAAAGGACGCTGTACTCAAAATATTAATATGAAACTCCTCAACAGCATCCATGTGGCATGGAAGATGCAGCCACACACAAAATTGATGATGTCATCGTGCGAATAAAGATATAAAACTCTCTAAAACCCAATACAGTTGTTTTTGTTTGAAAGGTGTTTTCAATTAAAAAAAAATATTTGGCCAGTTTTTTCCCGCATTTGTGTGTTTCATTTCTTAGATATTAGATATGATTGAATCTTTGAGTGTTTCTTTGGCGGTCGGGCAAAGACTGAGCTCTGTGAAAAAAAGTTTAGGCCCCCAAAAATAAGTCACTTTCACATGCTTCATACAATTGTATCCACCAAGGTGCTCATTCCAACTACCTTGTGGATTATGTTGAGTATGAGAAAGATTATTAAAAACAAACTCGAGATATCAGCAATCAAAGACTGTCTACGGGTGTATTACACACAGTTGAGGCGGATAGGGTTAATGGCTGCAGCAGACGGATCCATGATTTAACCGATATAGCGCACTGTCAGTTATTGCACCAAAAGAAAATGTCTTTTTTACGATCATACTGGCTTATGTTTGAATCGTAAACTGGGCGCTACGTAGTCTTGTGTTAGTGCAATATTTTTTATTTTAAAGCAATGCACTTGCTTAAAAGCAACAAACAGGAAATTAACGAAACTAAGTGTGGGAATAAAACCACGAACGTGTCGGCAAGGTGCGAACAAACAACTGTAAAAACAATATCAAATGAAAATAAACAGTTAGGGGTCGTCCATTAATTATGTCAACAAAATAGGGGGTGGGGTGAAAATGTTTGACAATTGTTGACTAGGGGGAGGGGAGGGGTAGATTAGTTGACGTTAACAATCAAGTTTTCTCTCTCAAAATTTTAATCTTAAAAATTGACTGGTTATTATATTATTTTAACACATTATGGAGTGTAAATTGAAATAGGCGCATATCATTTTTAGGCTTTTAACAGTATACGATTTAGATCTATTGAATGTGTGTCTGTCTGGGCACTGCTGAGGGATGGTCAGAATTTTAGCACTTTTTAGTGCAAGAGAAGTCAAAAGTTGGCCACTCTTCGCCTGTAGATTCTGTTCGTCTCAAATGACTATGGTGGTATGCATACGATCATGGAACAAGGACAAGTGTCATGTGCAGTCAAGATCAATGATATTGATGGAGTAGGTATATGACATTTTGAGAATTAGGGAAAATGAAAGTGAATAACAATATTAACATCGCTGCTTGAACGGATTTGCCAAATTTGTGACATCTATTTTGCATCACAAGTCATGTTGAAATAGCATGTTCAACGGCATCAAAATTGCATAAGAAATGACCATCTGCTCCTCAACAAAAAAGGATTCGACTAATACAAGTGGCGGCCAGGAGAAAGAGAGAACTTATAGCAATTATTGCTCACACCGACAATGCTTCTATTTCAAGTGCTAAATGGCTAGATGAGAATATGTAGGCCCTGTCTGGTATATCAGTTGCGCAAAATGAAAATAATAAATCAGTTACTATGCCCATTGTTATGATAGAGCAACAACTGGCTACTCCCTGGGAAGATGATAGCAGCTAGAAACTATGATACAATTGTCAGATATAGTGACAATAATCATATTTATACTTCCAAAAAAACAATGATAATTAGTCTTTTAACAACCTCTTCATTGATTCTGCATGTTAAAATGTAAGTGTCAAAACTGTTGAACTTGTTGATGAACAAGCTTAAGATGCAATAACATGTTTTCCCTACACTATTGTGCTATTAAAATAGGTCAGTCCAGCCCTGGGTCACATGTATTGATTTATATTATAATTCATTGTGGGAGGGGGGGCGGGTATAAAAATGTTGTCATAATTACTGAGGGGGTCACCGAAAGTTTAACAGTTGTTGACAAAGGGGAGGGGGAGTCAAACATTGCTTAAAAATTGTTGACGTAATTAATGGACGCCCCCTTGGCTGCATAGCAAAACAAATACACACACACACACACATCGAATCACGAACTGTATGATACCACACACAACTGTATGATAATCCCCATGATAAGTTTTATTGTATTTTCAGCCCTCTGTTTTTTGTTTTATAATTTATATATTAAAAAATAGTATCATACATTAAAATAATTGTATGGCCTCTGTGGGCAAAAAGGTATGGCTTCTTAGGGCAAAAAGGTATGGCTTCTTAGGGCAAAAAGGTATGGCTTCTTAGGGCAAAAAGGTATGGCTTCTTAGGGCAATTGTTTTCTTGATTAGAAAAAACAAAAAAGCCAGATTTGTGGGCTGTGACGTAACAGTCTACCAAACCTTAAAAGTCATGAAACACTACGGCTGAAAAAAATTTATGAAAACGTTAAGATAAGCTGTTTTATGATTTAAAAAATATGAATGTTTTGTGATTTCATTGTACGATTTCATATTGGATTGCCCCCCCCCCAAAATAAAAAAGAAAAAAAAAGGAACGGGGGTTTAATAGTGCCTTGAGATGACGTAACCACTTCAATATTTTGGCCCCCCCCCCCCCCAACATTTTATTATATCTCATTATCCCCAGCACTGTGCCAAGAAAGGCAACACAACAATGATGATGTGCTTTAGGCTAGAATAAAAAGTTAGGCTAATTGTTCTTACTGTCCAAATAGAGATTAAGAGAAACAATCTATTTCCCATTGTTAGTTTAAAAAACAACACCAGCAAAGCTACCAGACTCACGATCTAACCCCATCGTTTTTGTCCTGGAACCAAGTTAGGATTATACTCAGAAGGGGTGCCACCGTTCAGCTTGCCCGTGGCGCCTGCAACCGTAGGCCCGGCCCTAACAAGAAGTATTCACTGAATACATCAACTGAACTGTTCTAAACGAAACTTCCATACTTCCATATCTACTGAAAGATTTGACAAACCATTAAAACAACTAAACGCACTTTATAAGAATCCCAATTAGTGCCCCCCCCCCCCAACAAAATAAAAAAAAAAATTCCACACGTGTAAAATTTGGGCCACTTAAATATCCGAGACCCTCTGCAGCTGTAGGGCCCAAATGACGTTACTTCCATATCTACTGAAAAATTTGACAAACCATTAAAACAACTAAACGCACTTTATAAGAATCCCAATTAGTGCCCCCCCCCCCAACAAAATAAAAAAAAAAATTCCACACGTGTAAAATTTGGGCCACTTAAATATCCGAGACCCTCTGCAGCTGTAGGGCCCAAATGACGCCTATGGTATGGTTTCAGGACTAGGACTAGGTCAATGAATCTCTTTTGATGTTATTTGGCGCAATGAAAAATAATTCTATAAAAGGACATTTTTCTGCAAAAAAAATGGCCCCCCCCCTCCCCCGCCAAAGCTGACTACACAATTTACTACTGGATTTTTATGCTTAGAACCGTTACTTCAGAGTTTAATAAAAAAATATTTGAAGTGGCCTATGGCGCCTATCCCTTGGTGTCAAAAAATCGTAATCTCAGAGAGTTTCTGGAGCCAGACTAAAATTTGATATGGAAGAATCGTGAAAATATATTTAGCAATGAAGTTTAAATAACTTGAGTTTGAATTTCAATATATTACTGATTTAAACATAGTAACAGTCCTTGCCTTACTAAATTACTTTTTTTGTTCGGCGTTTTAGTTAGGATTAATAATTGTATTGAATAGTTGTGTACAATTATTGCTATTAAAATAATAATTTGTTTTCCGAAGTCGAACTTTTATAATAATTTATATTTTATATGTTTTGTGAAAAAAGTGTAACTCTCTAATGTCATAAAATTATATTTGTGACACGGCGATTTACTAGACTTCATCTCAAACCTTCTCTCCGCTTTAGCACGGCTTTTAAAACAAAATAATATAATCAAATGGGTTTACTAAGTTATGTTTGTATGTTATATTGCGCGTGTCTTATATTTACTGTTACCTACGTTTCGACTCAACCACATAAAACAAAAGAACCTATAATCATTACAGATTCAAATTGGACAAGTGTATTGGATGGCGAATGGATGATAGAATTGTAAGTCATAGACTGTGACATAGACGACATTGACATAGTACAGCCAGTGCTCGACTTACGACCACGATCGGTTCCGACAGACTGGTCATAACACGATTTGGTGCATATGTTGAGTACGCTATATGTACAGTACAGTTGAGTAGCCGAGTACAGAAATGTGAAGTGATGTTCAATGTTATAAAAATATTTAAGTTGAATTATATCATACATTTCTTTTATTAAGTTTTATTATTCTAAATTATAATTTTCCAAGGGAGATGGCTCAGATGGGAGTTCAAATTTTCAAACTCTGAAGAGCTCTCCGATCAACAAGCTTTAGCCTCGCTTGGGGAAGTCAATGGACCTAGGGTTATTGAGTGTGACCGTGTTATTTTTTAGAAATTTTTTTAGCAGCATACCATCATCATAATCATAGCACCATGCCTCCCTTTCCTTAGTTAAGGACCGTTAATATAACTAGTGATTGTGGTCGAATGGTCGTAAGTAGCATAGGTCGTAAGTCGAGCACTGGCTGTAAAATTTAATGTAAGTGTAAGTCAAGTGAGCACTATCACCCGTGACACAATCATGGTATTGTTGCCTATGTAGCAGTTACACATTTGCCAAGAGCTTGCCCAACCCAGGCTAAATAGCCATGTGAAATGGTTTATTAGCCACCCTGTGTGTGGCAAATAATTTTTGAGGAGGGAAAAACAATTATTGAATGGAAGTTACTTGAGTTTGAGTGAGAAACATACATAACAGAACCTGGAAGAGAACTTGCATTGATTGTAAATATGACTTACTATGCAAAAATATTTTTATTACTACATTAAACTGCAGTTTTTTGAGTATATTAGATATACTAGATAAAATATAAAATAAGGGGTTAAAGAATGATTTTGTAATAAAAGGTTATGATCTAACCAATCCAATGCCCTGCCCAATCAGCTCCAGCCTAATGCATTCATATTTAATTTTAAATCAAAATCTGTTTATTATCTCAACAAATTAAGAAAAGACAACTACATCTAAAGGAGTATTATTGTATATTTGTTTATTTAGAAAGAAGATCACATACCATTTTGGCATTCCAAAAATATGTCCATCAAGCTTCACTTTGTTATTTTTTGGCCATTTAAAAAAATAATTTTTAAAAATTTCATCTTAGAAAGCTAACAATAATAATATATTGTTTTCTTTGAATAAATTTTATCAACTTCTGTACATTATTTGCACATCTTATTCTAGATTCTTTATCTTTATAATACTCACGGCTCATGGCTTTTAAAATTAAATGATATCCAATAATAGTCATTTGTTATTTGCTTTTTGCTTTAGGCTCACATGTTAATAACATCTGTAATAAAAACACAATGCACACCCCACAGGACTTAGTTAATATTTAAATTGTAAAAAATAAAATATTAAAATTCTTGTCTCTCGGTTTTGATTTTAACACTAGAAATAACTTGTGTATCAATGTCTCTGAAACAAGTTAAAGAAATATATATTTTTTTTCTTTCAGCATGGCACCATGGTGTCCAGCATGCAAATCATTCAAAGAAGTTTGGAATGAGTTTGCTGGATGGGGACATGATCTTGACATTTCTGTTGGTGTAATAGATGTAACAGAAAATCCAGGTATGAAGTAAAATAAAAAAATATAACACATTTTATCATCTTTATCTTTTATTATGTTCAACAAACCCAATCCTGGCCATGTCATCGTCTCTCAGGTTTTTCTGTTTTTGTTAATAACTTATAATTTTCTTTGTTTTTTTAGGACTCAGTGGCCGGTTTTTGGTGACATCCCTACCAACATTATATCAGTAAGTATGAAATGAACTTTAAATATCTGTTTATATCATAATTTCTGAAAGTCTGTTGTTAAATATTCAGTTTTTGCTGTTTTTATATGTATATGTGTGTTTGTGTTTACATAATAAAAAAAAAATATCTACCTATATCTATATATATAGAGATAGATATATTTTTTATATATATATATATATATAGATAGATAGATATATTTTTTTATTGTATATATATATATATACAATCACTCATATACATATAAAAACACATAATCTGGAATTGTACCAACAAGAAATTACATATATTATATCTTTCTATATATATATATATACACACACAGATATATATGTAATTTCTTGTTGGTACAATTCCAGATCATTTATTCCTTTTCCAATTTTGTTTTTGATGGGTTTTTTTTTGTGTGGGTACTGTAGTGTTATTTCCCAGAATAAAAATTGCCTCTGTTCACATCTTAACTCAATATTTCTGACAGTGTAAAAGATGGTGATTTCAGATGTTATCAAGGCATCAGGAAGACAACAGATCTCATTGCCTTGATTGATGAGAAGAAATGGAATAATATTGAACCAGTCGCCTGGTACAGAAGCCCGAGTTCTATTCAGTAAGTTTCGTAATAAGTTATAGTTGGCATTTTGCTCCGTCCAATAGTACAAGGATTGTGTATGGTTACCTTTGATCTTTCAATCCATCTGAAAAATAGTAAGAAACCAAATTGTTCAAAACCAATTTGTATGAAAGAATGTTTTTCGAACAGAAGTTTGTTTAGACTGGAAAAAATGGAGAAATGAAATTTTTTTATAAAGTTTACACTTTACCCATTTGTGTGAGAAAATTCTCTTGGTCTTGCTTATGGTCGATTGCTGACATTGAACACACAGCTTAGTCTTGCTGTGCATTTTAATCCAAGAAAGAGTATAAACTCCTAAATGTCCATTGTCCTCTATAAATGTGTTGAAGTGAATTTAGTGTAAATCAGGCCGGCACAACATACGCATGCCCATTTTGCGGCCCACAAAGTAACAAAATATAATTTATTCTTATTATTTTCTTTTGGTGCGCACAAGTCCTGTCCTATTTTCTTTTGGGGGGCACATGTTTTTCATAAAGTATTCCGGCCCGCCTTACATTTTGAGTTGTGCAGGCCTGGTGAAAATCATGGTATTAAGCTTTACACAGATTTATAATGAAAATAAATGTTATAAAACATCAAAATTCAACTAAATTTTATTTTAATAAGTGCTGGTTGGTTTAAAATCATTGGCTGAGCTCCTGGTAATGAAATACTCCATCCCTAGTCTGGAAAGTGACCGTGATATTAAGATCTTCTCAATTTGGAAACAGCCCTGGTGTTAAAAATGATTTTTCTCCTTTGTTTCTTTTTCACATCTAAAAAAAATGTTGATTTGGATAAAAAATTATAGGTAGTTAAATTCTAAGCAAAATTTTTTTTTTTTTTTAAATTTAATTTAGCTATTGCCTGGCTCCTCAAGAAACTGTCTTCACTTTTTTAATAAATTTACCATTAACCTATCACTTTGTTCTTCACTTTTTTTAAAAACTTAACAGAATGGGCATACTGGGTAATTTCTTCACGGCAGCCATGTTTATCAGGGTAAGTAGAAATAACAAATTTAAAATGGAGGAAGAAATAATAATAATAATTATATCATGGATATGTTTTTTTATAATGTCATGAAATTGAGTTTTAGAAATGTGTGGGACAATTTGATTGAGTTTTATGTTTTAAAGGTGGACCCATTTACTATTGTTATACAATTAGATCAGGGGTGGCCAAACCAAATGGCTTCACTCGCCACATTGACAGTGAGTTTACTTTTTGCAGGCCACGTTGTAAATACTGAACAGATTTAAAAAAAAAAATTGGTTGTTACGAAGTTCAAATTGACGACAAAAATGAATCTTAACTAATAATGTGATAATTATAGCGCTGTGAGCATGCTGAAATAGCGTCATGATAATTCCTAATCTTTTCTAACTAACCTTTTATTATTTTATTTCTAAGTAATTTTTGTCCATTATCCAGCGGGCAAGCACCATTAATGTGCTGTAGGTGCCGCCATGCTTGAATGAGATTAAAAGCTACTGAAGCCAGGGTTGATCGTGACAACCTTTAGTTGATACCAATGTTAAAGTCATTTAAAGCACAAAGTATTGCCATTGTAGGATAACCATTAAAAATTTTTGTTCCGATGAAACATGTAGGGTGTGTACAATACCATGACTGATGTTTATGGAATACCAGAATGGCTGTGCTACGTCATCTTTGCCATCTTGACCATAATTACTGGCCTGCTACTTGGTCTGGTGAGTGAAATATTTATTTATGAATACTTTGAATGTAAAAAAAAATAATAATTTTAAGATGTTCATTATACACAAATCTGTTTTGTTTCATGAAGAAACTGAATGACACTTTAACTCTTATAGTTAGTTCAGTAGGTCAAATCCACATTTTGACGGTCCTTAGGTCAAATCCACGTTTAGAAGGTCTGTAGGTCAAATCTACATTTTGATACAGTAATTTTGTTGTGATAAAATTTGATCCTAGGTGACCACAGACAAATTTTCATAACTTTTCTAGTTTTTATGCTAATATAAAATGTGATATATCAAAATGAGCTGAACAGAATGGGCTATGTGACAATTATAATAGCTGTACTGGAATGACACAAATTAAAGCATAACAGAGAAAAACTTTATAGTTCATAATAATATGTATTTACAAGTGTGAAAAAAACATTGCATCAAAAGCATAAAAACAAATGACCACATGTTCAAGTGGCATTTAGCTTTTTCAGCCTTAAAATAAATGCATGTATGCATAACATAAGTAATTTCATCAATATTGGATGAAAAAAAAAATTGAAAAAACAGTTTGAAATCTAATTATAACAGCAAAAAATGTGTATTTCTGGTAGTGTCACTGGGTACCAGTTTTTATAAACAGATCTTCGAGATGTTGTGTGCCATTTTGATTCAACAAGTTTTTCTGCATATTCATTAATGGAATGTAGCAGTTCTGTAATGATCTCATCAGTGAACAGAGCTTTGAAACCAAAAAGTGGTGATGACCCATCTGGAATAGGATCAGGGTTTACTCCAGGAATTCTAGTTGGTTGTGGCACAAAATGGAAAGAATTCATTGTAGTGCCAGCTTCTACTTCATTCCAGTTTATTTCACCTCTTTTGTTAGACCTATTCAGTTCACTTGGTCTGTTACACATGTTACACATATGGGTGATCTCGATCCATCATCAGATCGTTTTTGTCCTTTTTTTGCAAGGGCTTGACCAGCTCATCGTCAGCCCACTCATTGTCAGTCAGTGTTTTCATCAGAAGATTGATCATTGCTAAATGAATATTCTGAATCTGAACTACTGGGCTCACTTTCAAATTCATCCTCGCTCGATAATTCTTTATCTCCATTTGTTTCTGCCCATGAAATTATTAGTTTTGAAAAATGTAAACACCGGAGGAGAATGTGGAAATATTGGTTTAGACAAAATACCAAAATATTTATATAAAATCCCAAAATTAAATAGTCTCCATGAAACGCCACATAGACTGGCTCGCGTCAAAACGTGTCCGGTGGAAAGCCAGTTAGACTGGCGCGTTGGACTTTAAGAGTTATAGTTAAAGTAGTTTTTTTTTCTTATTTCACATTCTTCCTTTTCTGCAGCTGCTTGTCCTTTGCTGTGACAGTTTTTTCCCAGCTAAGTACATCCCCTTGCCACCAGAGCGCCTGGCCCACAAACCGAGAGATGACCCTACTGTAAGTTGCTGAAATTTCAATTTACATTCCTGATACATTTAAGGACATTTAAAAAGTTTGACTCTGGCCAGATATGTAATAGCCTATATCAGCGGTTCTCAACCTGTGAGAACCACTGGCCTAATATGATGTTTGGCAACCTCTGGCCCTTTTATGTTCAATCATAATGTTGGGCTCTTGTCACTGACTCTTTTTATATTTATGCTGGCCACAGTCAGTGGTTAAATTATACCCAGAGTTTTATCATTCTCAAAAACTCTCAGAATTTGTCAAATTTAATTGATAACTTTCCAGTTGAATTTATAATTTTTCATTACTGATTGAATTAATTTTATAATTTAACAAAATTATTGGGAAGATGGAATTTAACTAAAATCCTGGAATATTTATTATTTTTTAATTATAATGCCAGGATGATGATGACATAATAGATGACACAGCTGATCAAAAGAAAGGTAACCCACCTGCGACGCTGCCAGCTTCTAGTCTTTCAGGACCTGAAAACAATTCCGACTTGAGGAAAAGACCACCTCATAAAGATGAATGAATGGAAATTAGTTTTTTAAAATAAATGCTAAATCGTTTTGTGCCTGTGAATGTTGGCACTCAGTTGGCTTAGTTTGTTACGAGTTTCTAAAAGTAAATTGAGGATGATTGACTGGGTGCCAGGATTAACATATCCTGATTAATAAATTAAATTTTTAATTGCACAATTATTTTAGAAAATTGCTTTTTGTTTTAATCATAAAATTCACTCAATAATTTAAGCTTTAGTTACTAAACATTGACTGAAAATTACTGTGGCCAAGAAATTTTTATAATTACAAGTATCTTCCAATATTTTAATTTTTAAAACTGTGTGCTACATTCTCAATTTAAGATATGAGGATACATTGTTGCGGTCCACCCCCACAAGAGGTTGAAGTAGAATGTTTTTTAAAATCTTGGAACATTTTTTTTTTTCCACTTTTATTTTTAGAAATGGAACATTGTTTTGACACATTTTATTTTTAAGAATCAAAGAAAATTTTGATGTGAGTAAATTATGAATCTATGTGAAGACTTTTTTTGTATGGTAATGTGATGCAAACCTAATCCACAGAAGTAAAAACTAGATCTCATGTCAGTTTATTTAATCCAGTTATTTGAATAATAAGAGAAAGATACAACACTACTTAACAATCAATTTGACATACATTCCATTTATTCTTAAATTTTAAAAAAATAGATTTTGCAGGCTTTTTTTCTCGCTTATGTAGCTTTAAAAGAATCATATGTCCATAAATGAGAATTAAGAAGACTGATGTGTGTGCCACTGGTTTCACGATATCAGAAAAAATATTCCAAGGTTTTATTGCTTGTGATTTCATTTTTAGATGCAAATTCTTAGAATTAGTATGGAAGGTTTTACTGTACATTGCTTTCATTTATAACCTGTACATAACAGTGATGAGAACGTACATTGTATGCAATTCTGCTCATCTTATTTATGAGAAACATCTGGCAGAATGTCATATTTCTTGGGTATCAGTAAAGTAACTATAAGAGCTCCTCAAGTTATTTCTACAGTTATTTTTTAAAAATATTTTTTGTGCACTAAATGAATGTTGAAAATATAGCAGAAAATTTTTTTCTGCGAAAATACATTTATTTATTGCCAGTCACTGCATTACTGCTAGTGGAATATATTTGGTCCACTATTATATCTCACCATTTATTTTCATGAAAATACACTTTTCAGTTACGTAATGTAAAATGGCGTAACTTTGACTTCAAAATTGTAACCTAAAAGGTAAATTAAATTGGACCCTAAAATCAAATCATTTAAAATGCATGAAAATGAATTTTAAGCTGCCAGTTTGCCCTCATGGGGCTTGACAGTGAGCTTAAGACTTGTATTGATATTCTTTTCTTTGAACTGAAATATTTAAAACCTTTGACCTTCCTAAAAATGCCACGTACGTTTTGTCTTCATTTCTGAATACTATTTCTGCATTCAATCCTTTTTACTTTTTATTTATGAAAATTATGCAAAGTTATAAAGAATTTATGTTTGATATTGTATCAACTGCAGTACAGGGGATGAACAGCATTTTTTTTTGTACATTGATTTTTATTCGTGCTGTGCCGTACAGCTTTTGAAAAGATTCCTGTGATGTACCAAACATGAAATTAAATTAAGTCCCATTATCTTGAATTCTGTGAATACACAATTGTTTTAGCCCGCAGGCAGAAGTTGGAGCTCGCAGGCAGGAGTTGGAGCTCGAAGGCAGGAGTTGGAGCTCGCAGGCAGGAGTTGGTGATTATATGGTAAAGAATAGTTGCACGTTGATGAAGTTGATCAACTAAATAATAAAATAAATGATATGTTAATTTGTACAAGAAAGTATTGTGTAGGTGTGTGAACAATTTTTTCATATCATAGTCACATTGATTTTTAAACTGCATAATTTTAAGCTGACACTTCCATTGGTTTGTACAGTCAATCTGCTTTAAAATAATTAACCAAATTTTCATTGCTCTTATTTCAGGAATAAATTGTTCTGATATTTTCAATTACTACTTGTGTTAAAATTAATATTATTAATTATCATAAATTAAATTTTACCAGGATTGGTAATTCTTTAACTATAATAAATGGTAATTCTTTAACTAGGATAAATTTAATTATTGTTGTTAACTATATGATTAAAACAAAAAAAAAAAAAAGACTCTGTAGCGAGAGCATCACTAATTTATTGACATGAATTCAAACTATTGTAAAAAGCCAGGGTCCCAGTCTATCTCTTGGTCTTTTAACTATAATAAATGGTAATTATTTAATAAGGATAAATTTAATTATTGTGGTTAACTATATGATTAAGAAAAAAAAAAAAAAAAAGACTCTGTAGCGAGAGCATCACTAATTTATTGACATGAATTCAAACTATTGTAAAAAGCCAGGGTCCCAGTCTATCTCTTGGTCGGTGTATTTAAGTTCGTAGGAAACTATTGCGTCTTGCAGTTGAAATACAAATTCAGGATCATCTATGCAAATGCCACATTCTTGCTCTTTCTTAACACTGTCCACTTCATCTTTGTAGTGCTTGATAGATATTACCTTTCCTACAGAAAGAAGACAATTATACAACTTTTAATAAAATAATATATTTGTACATATTACCTTTCCTAAAGTAAATTAATATAGATTTAGATATTCCCTTTCCTACAGAAAGAAGACTATTATACAAGCTTTGGTAAAGCATTGACTGGTCCACTTAATGCAAAGGTTGCCAACCTGTGGTTCCCATTTTTTGATATTACTGATCTATAATGACATTGGGCTCGCAAAATATTTTCTATGCAGATCTAATTTTTATATCTCAAAAAGTGGTTGCGGACTTCTATTTAAGGTAAAGTTTAAACACATGTATAACAGATTGAGAGCCCTGGAAGTGTTGATGGCTAACCTGTGTAAACAGTTTCATTATCACGTATGACCTTGACACCAAGCTTCTTGCTCATGGCTCCATGAACACAGCGACATCCTGCCACATAAGTTTTGGCTTTGTTGGGAAGTTTGATTTGGAAAACTTGTAGGACTTTGGCCTCTCCTGGAACAAATAATTGTTTCATTTCTGTATGTGTACGAATAAGAAACTTAATTAATACAATAGAAATGAACCTTAAAAAATAATTGTTTCATTTCTTTACCTGTAAGAAAGTTAATAAAATGGAAATCAAGCTTAACAAAATATTTTAATTTCTGTATGTGTAGTGTAAGATTATAATTAATCCAATGGAAATGAAGCCTAAAAAGTGAATCAACTGTCATACTTAAGTATATGGGTTATATTACGGACACTTACAAGTGAATACAAAGTTTTTTAAAAGATCTCAAACCTGTTACAACATCCTCCTGTATTTTTGGCAATCTTTTATTCAGTTCACTGATAAGGTCTTCAAACAAACGATAGATGATGTTATGTTTTTTTATCTTCACTCCTTTTGACTTTGCAAGAACCGATGCCTTTTCTAGGACTCCGACATTGAAAGCAAAAATTTCAGCTGAAATTATTAAGGAATCTCAGTTTTTAGTTCATAATGGCAATATAAAAATGATAAAGTGATCTTTGCAGACAAAAATATATAGTTTAACTGGGAGCGGCTCGGCGTTTGTTTCGTTACAGCCACAAGCCACTGGTAGCGCCAAGGTTTGTATCGTAGTAAATCAAGTCAAATATTTATATTATTCCGTTCCCGCTTTGCTCCGAGATTTCAATTTACCGACAGGATCTTTTTATTCAAACCGCATGTTATCTGCAGAATATTTTAAAAAACAAGCTATTAATTTATTTTGATTTAATTTCCAAGCTAGTTAAAAAATCGTACTACTTGTTTACAGTGGCAACAAGTGACAGGGTTACTAAAGACATATTAGTGATTGGAAGTGTAAATATTATTCAATTTCTGTGTACTTTGGTGCATATTTCTTATTATTGGATATACTCTGGGAAACCACCAAATAAAAGGTTTTAAATGATTTTGGAAATTTAAATTTTATCTGTAAGTTTTTTGTAAGTTGGAAAATTTATAAATTTTAAAATTTTTTTCTGTTGTAAATCCTAATTAAGCAATTAATAATTTCCTAACAAAACTTAACTTTATAAATGTTTTAAGTTTATCTTATAGACACTTAGATTACCGACACAATGGTTTATTAATCATTAGAATATGTTTATAATTAAGAAAACTGCAGCTGAATTTGTACATACACCTAAAATGAGAAAATGTGACCTAAATTTAATTCGGCCAAAGCGGGTTTTTCAATCCGGTAGTTAACCAGTCAAAACAAATTGCTCATTGAAAGATTTCAATATAAACAAAACACTTTTTAAAAAAATGCCAACGAGGCCTATATCTCAAAATAAATTTTATCATGAGCTCTTCTTCAGTACAAAATACCTTATCCGGAAATTTGATGGAAAGAAATTTCGTCGACTGTAAATTGATCGATGGTAATTTGATCGAACGGAAATTTTGTCAAAACTTTTTTCAGTTTTTACGTTAAAACCTTTGCTTAAATTTTTTTTTCAAACGCTTTTTTTTTGTTTAGCAATATAGTATAATGCGTTGAAAAAGAAATTCGACAAAAATTTTAACATCTGAACTGAAAAAAAGGTCCGACCAAATTTCCGTTCGATCAAATTTCCGTCTATCAATTTACCGTCGACGAAATTTCTTTAGATCAAATTTCCGGTAACCCTTCTTCAGTACAAAATACAGGTAGTTAATTAAAAGCTCTTTGATTAAACAATTTTTTTCCCCAGTAATTAACATGACGTTATGACATTCCTTTCCACTATTTTTTTAAATATATATCTATGAGTAAGGAAATTACAAAGAAATAATTTGCTACTGTTAATAAAGAAATACTTAGAACATATAAAACACATTAGAATATACGATTTCTTTAGTGTAATTTTTTATTTATTCAAGAACAGATAGGTCTCTCAAACCTAAAAAATATGATGCTTCATCAGTTGATGTTAGGGTAAGGGGGAAAACTTAGCTGCTTAAAATTCATTTGTTTTTACCGCCAAATGCTGCCGCCATTTCAATGTCTGATTCTGTCACTGCACCAACACCAAAATGAACAATATCCAGCTGACATTTCTTAGATCTGTATGTGTCCAACGTGTCTAGGATAGCATCCACAGAGCCATCAACATCCCCTATCAATATACATTCAGCAATGATTTTTTAAAGGAAAACATAAACACACCATGACACCAGTGCCCTGAAGTGAAACACACCAGTGCCCTACAGTGAAACACACCAGTGCCCTACAGTGAAACACCAGTGCCCTACAGTGAAACACACCAGTGCCCTAAAGTGAAACACACCAGTGCCCAATAGTGAAACACACCAGTGCCCTAAAGTAAACTATTCTAAAGTCAGCATATGTTGCTTTCCAAGTTGACACAACACACACAACAAATACAAAATTGTCTCAAAAATACATAACCTTTAACCCATTACATTTAAGACTAAATTTTGATATATATCTATTATATTCTCTTAATTATGGTATTTGTCCATTAGGTAGCACTCACAGAATCACCTTTTTTTTTAGTATTTACGGTACTTAAAAAATTAACCAATGAAACTGAGACACTAAAACATTCAATTGAAAACATGGCTATAAATAAACTTGGGACTTGAAAGTGATGATTTCAGATTATATTTTACTACCTACCTTTGAGTACCATGGAGAACTGAATCTCGTCGTCTTTATCTGGATCCTCCTTGGTTCTCATTCCTGTCATTCTAGTTTTGTGCTGCCCTGCAAGTCTCCTTGCGATCAGAGCTTCTCTGTATTCTTTGTTGTGGGCGTCCCGTTTTTCTGAAATGACAGAGTAATCTCCCTCTTGTTTTTTCTTCATCTCTTGCTTTTCTCTCCAAGCTAGCACTGTCTTAAGTTCTGACTGTAAGTATGCATGAGACAGAAAGACATTTTTAAAAAACTCATTTTAACAGCATAAACCAGTTAAGTAACAAATAATTAAAGCTATAAAATCTTACTTAAGTGTGACAAAATTAACCAAAGGATGTTTCTCTTAATTTAGACAAAATCAAATTTTCAAATACAAACCTCTTTTTTGATCTGCAGAATTTCCTCCCCAGCTGATGGAGTTTCCTTCCAGCCAAGAATTTCAACCGGTGTGCTGGGCGGTGCAGCTTGAACGGGGTTTCCCAGGTCATCAAACATCGCTCTCACCTGGAGAGTTTCAGTAAAGACTCACATCCCAGTTTCAATAAATAATAAAAAGAAAATGATGATATGGTAATACCCGAACTCATGAGCATTTTGTATTAAAGGGAAATACATGAGTAAAGACCCTTATTTTAGAGTAATAATCAACTGCCCCTGCGGGACCATCTTTACTAGTATTCAAAAGTTGCTCAAAAAAACAACAACAACAACAATGTAATTGCTTTTCAAGTCAAGATTTTACATTCGTGAGCACGGGATAATTTATCAGGTTCCCTGGACTATCCACCAACCAAATAGTGCTCTCATGAACGAACATATTTAAATGTAATATTCAAGCCCAATTTTTATTTTACTTTCCTTTAAATTTATAATTGCTTTGAGTCTAGTTCTTAGCATAACTGCGTTCTCCAACGGTAGGGAATAAACCCTTTGTTGATATTTAAAGAGATTAAAATGGAAATATTTCACAATAATTGTGTGACTTGGATCCTACGGCTAAAATACACTTAACCAATTGCAGGTGTGCTTTGAGGGTTTAGGGAAAAGGGGGAGAGGGGGGTTGGCTTGACCAACATCAGTCACAGTAATACATGTTTTAAAACAACACCACTGGAGCTATTCTACCTTTGCCCAAGCTGTCCCGGCAATCAGGAGATCTCCTCGCTTTAAAGTGCCTCGTTGAATTACTGCAGTCACCAAACGACTGAAAAATGTTGAGATTCCATTTAAAAAACAAAAAAATCTTCTATATTTTGGGGGGGACATTTTCAAATAAGAAATGCCAGATCTATACAAAAATGTTATCTTTTATTTAAAAAATGAAACAAACCCTCTTTTTTCATCAAGCCTTGCTTCCACTACTCGTCCTTCTACCAGCCCGACAGGATCTCCCTTCAAATTCATTAACTCAGCCTGCGTCACAATAGCCTCTTGGAGTTCTGCTAGATTTGTGCCCTGAAATATAAAATGTATTACGGATTCACGCTTTATCTCCGCAATTTTGTTTCAAACACTGTTATTAAGACTGAACTTTATATTAATCTATACGAAAACTAACAAAAAACGAATTTAAATATATGTGAATATAGAAATAATTTGGGAAAAAAATAAACAAGGACAACCTTTAAGGCTGAAATGGGGACCGCCTGAACATCACCACCAAACTCCTCGAGGTGTATCTGGTGTTCCAGCAGCATTTGCTTGGTTCTCGGCTGATAATAAAGGAAACGGTTTAATTGGAAGGAAATTTTGTTCAATATAAGAAATTTGAGAACTCCTCTATAGAAACCCCTTGGAGTTATAAAGTACATCTTAAATCAGGACGAATAAACTTATATTTTCTTTGCTTTTAAACTAAAGCCCCTTTCAAATAATTTAGTCATTAAAAATGTTTTAAGGCACCACACATCTCGGCACTGTCATGACGACAAGCTTTTATAGCAAGGCACATCTCTGCACTGACATGACTGCAAGCTTTTATAGCAGTGCACATCTCGGCACTGACATGACGGCAAGCTTTTATAGAAGTGCACATCTCAGCACTGACATTTCAATATTATTTTAATAAAAATAAGGATCTTTTTGACATGGTTATCGCACATCAATATCTCTTTCCTTAATTGGTATTGATGTATTATGGACAAGATTAACACAGCGCAGCATTCTAGGTGAACATGACATTTTAAGGAGCTTTTTTCTCTTCAAACAAATAGTTTGGCAATTACTCGTGGATCGCATTATATGCTGTAAAATACCGTACTTTATGGGAGACAAACCCTTTTCCCCCAATAGAATGTTGATAAGGTTAAGTAAATAAAAACAACTTACCACATCAGCATTGTTCTTGTCTATTTTATTAATAGCAACTATGATGGGCACTGTGGAATTCAAGCAAGTGAAAATGATTAAAAAGAAAATAAATGATTAAATAGTCTTGTTTAAATTCCACTAAACTTGCGCCACGCACAATCACATTGGTGCAGTGGACACTAATTTAATTTTTTTGGTATAAACTGAAAATATACAAAGTTAACAAAAAAATATTTTTTTTTTTATTTAAAAAATATTTTAGAAAAAGTTTATCAGAAATTATCCAATGTAAAATATAATTTTAATAACCTTGTGCTTCTTGTGCATGCTGAATGGATTCCAGCGTTTGCTGCATAACACCGTCATCGGCCGCCACCACAAGAACAATGATGTCTGTCAGGTGTGCGCCCCTTGATCTCATAGCACTGAAAGCAGCGTGGCCAGGCGTGTCCAAAAAACAAATGGCCTCCCCAGTTTGCAAATACACTAACACGAAACGTTACAATCATATAAAAATTCAATATTGTACATTAAATATTTTAAGGATATGCCAATACTTTGAAAATTAAATTATTTTTTTTTCTCAAGATAATGCAAAAAATTGTTTAAACTTATTGTATCATTAACCTTTTGGTTTGTGGTTTTTAGAAAAAAAACAACAAAAAACAGCCATTATTTATAATTTAATTTTTTAAAAAATAATATTAGCTTTATTTGATATTTGTTTATGTTTTCCCGAATGTTTTAAATTACAAATAAAAACGGAAAAATGTCTTTAAGCCACCTATGACACCACACAGTGAACGGATTATAAACACTGAATATTGACCTTTAAAAGCACCAATATGCTGTGTGATGCCACCGAATTCCTTGTCCACAATGTTGGAATTTCTCAGTTTATCAAGCAGCGTTGTCTTGCCGTGGTCGACATGACCCATGATAGTAACAACCGGGGGTCGTTTAACGAGAACACTCTGGTCTGGCGGGGGCCTGTTGTGGGGTTTGAAGATATGAAACAATACACAAAGGATATATATTTATATATTTAAGTTAAAAACAAAAAACTTAAAAGAATATTTTTGACCCATAAATGAGACTTGGATAGCTTCAAAAAAGTTCTTTGAGATTTGTAGTCAAGGTAATTGTTAAAATTTAATTTACATGCAATTTCTTGGAAATGCATTTTCCCCCCAGATGTCTACTTAGATTTAGATGAAAATTTTAATACCGGTACCTAAAAAATACGTTTTTAGACACCGCAAAGCCATCAACACCTCAATGTTTGAGATGTATCACATAATATATTGCCAGAATAATTTCAAACAAGGATTCTTATATTATTGTAATACATTTCTTATTTCACTAATATTTGTAAAAAATGATATGAAACAAATTGTAACCCACTGTTTGACAAAATCTTTAGCTTCTTCCTCTTTCTGGGGTTTCCTGCCCACTAACTCAGGCACCATGCCCAATTTTTTCACAACATTCACCAGCACACTGCGATCAAGAACTGCAGAGAAAAAGGACAATCTGTTGAAATGATCTTGAGACACGAAGCAATGTTACAAAAATTATGTCTTCTATTTTAATTTGTTTAAAAATATCTCTTTAACTGCATTATGGATTCAGTTATCTTCAAAACAGGTCTTTACACATAGTGAGGGTTGCAGTTATCTTCAAAACAGGTCTTTACACATAGTGAGGGTTGCAGTTATCTTCAAAACAGGTCTTTACACATAGTGAGGGTTGCACAGTTATCTTCTAAACAGGTCTTGACTCATATTGAGGGTTGCAGTTATCTTCAAAACAGGTCTTGACTCATATTGAGGGTTGCACAGTTATCTTCAAAACAGGTCTTGACTCATATTGAGGGTTGCAGTTATCTTCAAAACAGGTCTTTACACATAGTGAGGGTTGCAGTTATCTTCAAAACAGGTCTTTACACATAGTGAGGGTTGCAGTTATCTTCAAAACAGGTCTTTACACATAGTGAGGGTTGCACAAAAGATAACAAGTCATCTGCTTAATCTGCCATTTCGTTGAGTACTGGTAATCACTATCACAGTTATAGTACCGTATATACTCGTGTGAGATATAAGTCGAAGTCGAGAAATTTTTGTCGCAAACTTCATTTTAAAACACCGTGACGACTTATCCTCAGATCAGTGATAGTTTCTATAGAGTTTTGTATGCTGAATGCTTGGCAATGTCCAGTTACCGGTAGTAATAGTTTCTATAGAGTTTTGTATGCTGAATGCTGGGCAATGTCCAGTTATCGGTAGTGTTCTTACCGATAGCTTTTTGAGACATGTCGTTAATATGTAGTCTGCAAAATGTGAACTCATGTATCTGGTGTAATGAGTCAATCATACACAGGCCACCATTTAGTTTACAATGCAGTCAATCATACACAGGCCATCATTTAGTATACAGTGCAGTCATTTAGCATACAGTGCAGTCAATCATACACTGGCCCTCATTTAGTTTACAGTGCAGTCAATCATACACTGGCCCTCATTTAGTTTACAGTGCAGTCAGTCATACACTGGCCATCATTTAGTTTACAATGCAGTCAATCATACACTGGCTATCATTTAGTTTACAGTACAGTCAATAATACACTGGCCATCATTTAGGTAAGTCTGACAAAGTTATAACAATTAAAGAATTTCATTAGCCTATAGTTATACCTTTGACTTATCCACCAGTCATAGCATATTTCATAATTGTTGGAAAAAAACTGCCCTCGACTTAAAGACGAGATCGACTTATAGTTATAGACGAGTATATACAGTAAATACATTTTAAATATTAGGTATAAAGCTAGTTGGTGTTAATGTAATATTTGATGTCTTAATGAGATAGCACCACATATGGTTACATACCAGACAATGCCCCCCCCCCCCCACAAACACACCGACACACCACATTTAGGTATAAAGCTAGTTGGTGTTAATGTAATATTTGATGTCTTAATGAGATAGCACCACATATGGTTACATACCAGACAATTCCCCCCCCCCCCACACAAACACACAGACACATCACAATTTTTTTCTTCTTCTTTTTGGTGCCATTATCAGTGTTTACATAAACAATGGCACCACACAGACAAGACTCAAGACATATTATAATTTTTCCTCAGCCGTCAAGACTTCACTAAACTGGTTTGCAGTGACCAACTCCTCTGAAGTTTTTGAATGGTTATTTCCATGTTGTTAAACCGGTCTGCTCTACTGTGAAGCGTCACATTCTATCTTTTCTTTTTCACAACAGGGTTATATTTTTTTAATAATTTTTCTTTCGTATTTCAATAGGGTGTGCACTTAAATCAATCACTGCCATTCACCATTATTGTGCAGTGCATTCAAATGATCCAGGTTAATTTATTTTGTTTTTACCTATTTATATTTTTTTCTGGGAAAGGGGGGGGGGGGGGCGGCAAAAATTATATAAAACTTAAAGAAATGCCTGCTTAAAGGCCTATTGCCCATGCTTACAAATATATGTTTACAAATATATGTTTACAAATACATGTTTACAAATGCAAGTACTGGCTGCATGTCTGGTAGAAGATAGGGCAGCAACAATTTTCTCCAAAATTGCCTCAAAAATTGCATGTAAAATTTTAATCTTTTTCCATATTTCATTGAAACAAAGAAAAATTAATCTTAAATAATTATAATTTCCATACGTGATTAGAACAGATTAAACTTGTAACACAAACGAAGGCCATTGAAAAAACATGATATAAAGTCATTCTTGAATAGCTTACCTGCATCATCATGGTCATAGGCCTCTGTGTTGGGTATGTACATGAGAACTTCATATATGTTATCTGAAAAGTGTAACATTTTATCCAAATACATCAAGCATGGAATTCATGGAACATTTAAATTTTAACACAGGTGAGTATTATTATGAAAAATAAATGTAACTTGATCATTAAAAAAAAACAGTAAGTAATATTCAGAGTTACATTTCAGGCATGAATTCTGCAAGATTTGATGAGTGTCCATTTAAATACTTGAATGTATAAAGTATAAAGAGCGGAGTTACAAAACACAAACAGTGTAATTGAATTAATAATAGTCAATAACTTTTTTTAAGTTGCTAAAACAAAAGTTTGACAAAAAATTATTAGACAAGATTTTGTATGTAAAAATTAACATTTTTTTTTAAAACCTTTGCGGTGAGAAAGAAATTTGCGTTTATTGGACATACTTTGTGTAAGAATAGTAAGTAAACATTTGGTCTAATAATCTATGTACAATTAAAGGTCTTCTGATATTTTCATTAATTATATGGCAATCATCAGGCAAGAAGTGATGCTGGCACTTTTGCTTTCAGAGATCCAACCTTAGGAAACTAGACCAGACAAATTTCAGCTTGTCTTCTTTATTCCATTATTGAATACCCCTCTGCTGCTGAAGCAACATGGCTAACATGGCTTAAAGCAACATCATTCACCTGGCATGAAGCGACATTGCTAGCATGGCTGAAAGCAACATTGCTAGCATAGTTGGCAAAACAAAAAACAAACAACAACACCCACATGCACTTCTAAAGTAAATTGAAGTTTTTGTTAGACACCTAATCTAATATTCTGGGGCATCAGTGAAAAAATTGAAAATTTTAAACAAAGTTTCAAATTAAAAGTTACGTCTGGATATTATAATTTTTTAATCTTTAAAAAAACAACATTCTCTGTAAAAACAACAGTCTATAGTCCACACTATACTCACCTATAGATCTATTTGTTGCTTGAGCGAGTTCTGCTATTGTCATATCTAAATGAACATAAGCCCTTTCAAGTTTAATACCCTTGTTAATCTTCAAAGGATTCTGCAATAAAGATTACATCTTTTTACTTTGCTTATTCTTTAATTAAATTATTTTTTTTACATCAACACTGTTTAATATGAGTTATTATAGTTAAAATAAGGCAAATTTAGTTATGTTAAAAAAGAAAATCCCAACAAATCATATCTTACTCTTTTCTGTAGTTGAAATGGTTTCTTAGCTCCCAGATTTGTGTGTGAAGTATGCAGCATATGCCCTTGAAGACCAACAATTCCCCAAGAATTTACTCTGTTTAAGAAAATCTTATATTTGCTGCATTTTAGTTCAGCTGTCAATCTTTTATCGTAAGCTAAAAGACCACATTGGAGCCTACGTATGAAACCGCTTAGAAAGCACCATGTAGCCATTTTCCACCAAATAGCATTTGTTAAGTTTAAAATGCAATTGTTTTTTTGGTTTTTTTTAATATTAAATTTTTCTGTGAAAGAGAGAGTTACTCATTTTATTTTTTTAAAGCAGATTTCTGGTCGCCAAATAAAGATTCATCTGTTGAATAATAAAAAAACAGGAACATTACTTGCCTTTAATATCCCTTTAAAAAAAGTATTACAGTATTACAGTAAAAGGTGAATAGCAATATCTAGCTGGAAAAATATATGTAAAAATTTCTGATGTCAGTGATGTTATGAATAATTTTTTTTTTAATTAAAAAAATTATGTTACATTCTAGAACTTGGAATGTGTTTGTTTCTCACATGGCTGATTTACTCATCAACTATTAAGTTGACATGAGGCTGATCTTCATCACTGATGATGTGGCCCTTTGACTCTGATGTGAGCAATAATGCTTATCACTTATCAATCACACAAAAATGGCCCACTGCAGGCCACATCACTGGTGAATTCAACTTGAGTTTGAAAAGACTATCTGCTTTTCATGGTGGCCTGGTGGCTATACTATTAAGGCATTAAGGTATTAGATTTGGAGCTATTATCCTGGGCTAAGTGAAAAGTTCAAATTTTTAGCTTTGGAATCAGATGGGCACTAGCCTCCTGATAATAATATTAGAACAATATAATAATGAATAATTTAAGTTAATCAAAATACTCACTTTCCATTTGAATGCAAAATAAATAAATAATTAAATAAAAAAGACAACACTCAAAAGTTAACACTATATGACTATAACAGCACATGTCATGATACATTTTTTTGGTTGACACATCATTCATGACATTAAATAAAATAAAAATAAAATTAAAATGAGTAAACAGATTAGGGTTTAACCTGAAAAAATACATATCAATCAGTCATAAAAATAATTAAATGTCATTTCATTCAAATTCATTCATTTAAATTAAGCAAATTCATTCATTAAAATTCATTCATTAAAATCCCTAATTCAATAATTTAAATGGATTATTATTTATTAATGCAGCAACTGAGCAAGGGAGACTTATTGCATTTTGACAATTCTAAAGATCATCACTGTATGGGTGAAAACCTATTTCAAGAGTTTGAGAAAGCATTTTTTGGCTTTAAAATTAGTAACTTTATTATTTACTTTTTAAGACTTTCTTACTAACTTTCTACTTTTATCCTCGTCCTCAGCTGTGTGACTGTGTGTGTGGGTAGCTAGGACTCAGGACTAGGACATCTGCTCTAAAAAAAAATATACCAATGAAATAGTATAAATGAAAATTACTAGTTGTTATATTATTGAAAATATTACCTGTTCATAACCTTTATTTTAGTACAAGTTCACAGGGATTAGCGCAGCAATTTGATTCTCATTAAAAAAAGTTAGACCTTCATCATATATTTAACGAAGTCCGAAAATGTTGCATTTTAATGTTTTCAAAACAAATGACGGCATCCGGTTTATGAACATGAATTTTTTTTTCAAATTAAAATATAATTTTAAAAATGTGATAATTATTAAATAAGTGTCGTCACAAAAGGAGGTGGGGGGGGGGAGGCGGTCCTAAATATGTAATGAAGCCTGTGACGACGAAAAAAGGGGGGGGGGGGATAAGTAGGCATAACTGTGTATCACACACGATTTTAGCGCCCACAAGTGCCACAACAAAAATTAGTTTACTGATTTACTGACGATTGGCGTTGGAAAAAAAATAAAAAAAAAATAAATAAATTAGGCATAACTATTTATATGCTTTACTTTTTCGGGTATGAATCTTTTTTTTTCGTAAATGTCATACAAAAGACACTCTATTGCGAACCCCGTAAAAAATGTCATAATAGTCAGTCTATCATCACTATCAGTTCAGTTTTTCTAATATAAAATTTCTATGCAAAAAAAAAAAAAAATGTATTTTAAATTATAGTTTTATAAGCTACTGTTGTACATTTTTATTCAAAAGAAATTCAAGCTACTTTTTACAACGGGGGTGGGGGTGGGGATGGGGTGGGGGTGTAGGCCTACTTGTAAAAATGTGCCACTGGTTTAGTATAGCACAGGCATGCAGTATTGTGGTTTTCGGCCTGAGTACTTTTTTTTATATTACTTAGTGTTTCATTTATTTTTTAACAAAGATGTTCAAAAATTAAACACAATCAACCGTATAGAAATGGGATCTGAATAGATGGAATTGAAAACATTGTCTTAGAGGTATAAACTATTTTCAGTTTAATATCGACGGCATGCCTAAATAAACACATGAGGCATGATAAGGGGCATATATAAATGACGTCACGCAAATTTTTTGACACCTCCCCCATCATCACAAAAAGTTAGCCCCCCCCTCTCAAATATAACGTCACAAACCTTTGCACCCCCCACATTTTTAAAATAAAAAATCCCTATATCCCTTACCAACCTTTAAAAAATCACCTCCCATAGATATCGAATTACTGCACCTGTGTCAAAAATATTTCCGTAGAACAGTGGTTCTTAGCCAGGGCTGAAAGGGGATGGTGTGGAAGACCCAGAAGATTGTATTAGCTTTCATTTTTGGTTGTTGCGGCCTTAACAAAAAAAAGTTTTTATGTATTTTGATTGGCAACAGAAGGCCTAAATTTTTTTCTGGTGATTATGGTTTGTGCCTTGTATTTTTTTTGTGTTGCTCCTAGAAAGTTAAGTAAAGAAATAAAAATACACTAATTGAATTATTTAATAATTTTCATATTTAAAATTTTATTACAATATAATTTATACAGGGGAGGGGGTGGGGGTGGGCGACTCCAAATAATTAGGGACTTATTGATCATCGCGTGAAGCTCTTTAGCATTAAAGTTAATTTGAAAATACACTTATTCTAGGAGTAGTCTTTCCCTGAAATAGCGAGGGCGTCGTCGCTTGCAGCAGGAAATTGTCACCAGTGATATCAAAACACGAATAATCAGTTGTGATGTTGCCAATATTTAAGATTTGAAAATTAGTGACTTGAAAGTATTTGTGAAAACGATACTCCCCAATAATCACCCTTAAGTGTATCCGCCCAGTGATTTTATAACTTGAAATGCAGCTGTTAGTTAGCCTAGTTATCAGTCACCTCATCAAATAATCATCATCATGTCAGACTCAAATGAAACTGAAATGTGATGAACATTATTAAATAATTAATAATTATTATCGGCAACATTTTGTAACTATTTCACTTTCACACTCACGTCACACGAGTCGGTGACTTATCAGTTATTTGATTTAGATGAGAAGTCTCATTGACTTCAGTGAGAAGTCCTGTTACTATTTTAAACTATTTTTTTTATTAGTAAGTATACAGTATAGTTTTTGGTTTGAAATTATGAGAATTAACTTATTTATTAGTATGTAAAGTTATTTATATTAATATTAAAATTACCAATACTTTTAATAGTATGTTAGAACTTAGTAGTAGTTGCAGATGTATTACTAAGCATAATTAAATAATTATTGTAATGTTTTTATGGTTTTTATTTTAAAAAAGTAATAACATCATATATAATATAGATAGGTGCTTGACATTGTCTTTGAGATCTTCTGGGTATGATATTGATATAGTCTGAAGGTCTTGGATGTCGAGGGTTAATTTTCTTCTTATTCTTAGGTATGAATGTATTGCTGGTTGATGACTCAGGGCTGTCTGAGTGGTTAGGTAATGATTTGCTGTCATTATATCCAAACCTGGTTCTGAATCTTCTTCTGCTTCCTACCCATCTCTGGGACGAAGTTGATTTAAATGTCTCTTCCATATGGGGCCATTGTGGTTTAGAGTCTGTTGTTGTTCCATTGATAATGACATAACTTGGATCTCCCTTGTTAAATAATTCACTAGGACGTCCATTTGTCCCATTACGGATAGATATTTCTTTAAGTTGTTGTCCCTGTGCAAGCTGAGCAGGAGAGGGAACTAGAGTATCAATAAGAGTTGCCGATTGTTCAGCAGTGGGCTAGGTGATAATCCACTAGACAATGGTGTCCTACGATACTGGTGTAGAAAGTCAGTGGTGGTTCTGTCTATTGAAATATTGGGGTTCTTTTTTGCGGTTCTGTCTATTGAAATATTGGGGTTCTTTATGATGGTTCAACCCAATCAATTTAATTTGTGATCTTCTTCTACCACAATAGACAGGTTTGTTTTACTACCACAAATGACAGTTATGAAGATGATTCCCTTGTATCAGTGTTTATTTCTACACTTCCTAGAACATTTAGATGGTTCATACATAATGGAGACTGGACTCAATGTTCATTGTCCAAGCCTTTGCCATACAGTCTCGGATAAAAAATTTTCCCCAGCTCCTGTGTCAATTCCAAAATTAGTTCCTGAATGATTGGTGGGACTGTTTTTATTTGTTGTTTGCCTTCTTATTCGTCTAAGGTAACTAGGTTACTGTCTTGGTAGACACACTCTTTCCAGATGCCCTTTCTTGTGGCAACTGCGGCATATCATGTCTTTATATCTGCAAACATTTCCCTTGTGTCCTTTTCTTCCACATCTGGCACAAGTTCCAACTGGAAAGTCATGTCCCTGACATTTAGAAAATTGTTCTGCCTGATGTTGTTGTTTAAAATTTCTTTATTGACAGGAATTTCTTGGTTGGACTGTTTGTTTAGCACATTTAGCTGGCTCTTCTGTTTCCACTGCTATTTCGACTGCTTTATTAAAGGTCAATTCTGTGGCCTTCATTCTAAATAATATCTTAAATACTGCCTCACTTTTTTTACTGAGCACATAAATCTGGTCCTCATTGCTTCATCTAGTGAGTTGTTTACTGAGCACATAAATCTGGTCCTCATTGCTTGATCTAGTGAGTTGTTTACTGAGCACATAAATCTGGTCCTCATTGCTTCATCTAGTGAGTTGTTTACTGAGCACATAAATCTGGTCCTCATTGCTTCATCTAGTGAGTTGTTTATTGAGCACATAAATCTGGTCCTCATTGCTTCATCTAGTGAGTTGTTTACTGAGCACATAAATCTGGTCCTCATTGCTTCATCTAGTGAGTTGTTTACTGAGCCAAAATCACAAGTTGCTGCCTCTTGTTGAGTTCATGCTCCCAATTCCTTAACTGTCTCTCCTGGCTCTCTAATTGGGGTCAGACCAGAACTTAAATCTTTCTCCTATAACAAATTTAGCTGGGTCAAACTGGTCCATCGTCAATAAATAAACTTCTTCCATTGATAATTCATTTATGTCTTGCAGTTTGTCACTTTGTTTGACCAGTGTTGACAACATTTTTGGAGTTCCAGTGTTCGGTTTGCAAGAAAATGTTTGCTTGTTTTTCTTTGGGTATTGTGTTTGCTAACACAAAAGTTACATAGTAGTCTGTGGAGGCTTCTTCATTATGTTTGAAGTTTGTGAATTTTGTCTCATTAGGTCGTGTGTTCCCTGTTGCTTCATTAGGTGTGTTCCCTGTTGCTTCATTAGGTGTGTTCCCTGTTGCTTCATTAGGTGTGTTCCCTGGTGCTTCATTAGGTGTGTTCCCTGGTGCTTCATTAGGTGTGTTCCCTGTTGCTTCATTAGGTGTGTTCCCTGGTGCTTCATTAGGTGTGTTCCCTGTTGCTTCATTAGGTGTGTTCCCTGTTGCTTCATTAGGTGTGTTCCCTGTTGCTTCATTAGGTGTGTTCCCTGTTGCTTCATTAGGTGTGTTCCCTGTTGCTTCATTTTGCTGTATCAGCATTTTGATTAGTTCCAGTGAATTTTGTCTCATTAGGTCGTGTGTTCCCTGTTGCTTCATTTTGCTGTATCAGCATTTTGATTAGTTCCACCTGGGTCAGAGTTGACTCGCCGTTATGTATATACCTTTAGTTACGTGAAGTCCGTGCACCATTCTAATACTAGTCGAATGATCTCTTTGAAAAGTAGTTACTGCATACTATATTGTACTGGCCACCAATGTTCCCTCTAAGGTTTGCTGGTTCGTGTGCAAAACTCAAAACTGCTGCGCGGCGTCTGTGAGATAGCTGTGTGGCCGCATTGCTGGCCACCATTTGCTATGTTTTTATGGATTTTATTTCAAATCAAACAATTAAGTAATAGCATCCTATATAAATATTTAAATAGTAAGTTTTCAAAATAAGTTCACCCCATGCTTGTCTTGGGAACACACTGTTCACAGGCCCTGCACATGCATGTTGCTCGCCCCGGTTGTCTATCCGTATGGTATAACAAGTATATAGTGATAAAAGAGGATAGTGTTAATACGGTAATAGTAAATACTAGTATGTATTGTAGGCCTATATAATATACAGTATATTTTGCTATGGTATAGTTTGTACCTCTGATCCAGATTGATACATTACACTCTACTTTCTACTTAATCATCATTACTCATTACTGCTAGAGACTAGAGTGAAGTATACTGTCGTTGTAATCTAAGTAGTGGCCTACTAAATAGTAACTTAATACAGTAGCAGTCGATGCTTCATTTTTCCAAACTGTGACCGGGGATGATTTGGATAACTTATTCATGCACCCCATTTGTTTGAGAAGTTAGTGCATAGAATACAACAGATATGCTTACCTAATAAATTATAGGTATACATGTATGGTGCTTTATTTTACAGTGTATAAAATCATACCGCAGGGTTTTGGGTCAGCCGATGAATGAAAGAAACTGATGCCTGCAATTCTTCCCGTGAAGCGTGGTAGATTCCAAAAGTGGTAGATTCCAAAAGTGGTAGATTCCAAAAGTGGTAGATTCTAAAAGTAGATGAGTGATTCTTGGAATAAAATCTGAGATCACTTTGTCTTTGCAGACGTGTATCATGATGCAATATGTGTGAATTAACAAGTTTGCAGATCGCATTACCTCAGTCTGGTCACTACATGCACAGTACACATATAGATTTGACCTGGATTCTGTGACAAAGGTCAGAAGTGTTATCAGGTATTTGTGCGCCAATGCTGGATGCTATGCGGATTGCATATGATAGTAATAATAAAAAAGACCAGCCAGTTCTTGCATCCAGAATTTGATATAATAGACATTTGACACTCCACTCTTCTAGAAGTTTTCAGCCTAGGTTTTGTAAATTACTGGGCCTAAATGGGTATACTTAAAATATTTAATCAAATAAGGTCAAACTATTATTAAAAGGAAACCTTAGAAAACAAATTTCCACTGAATAAATGTTAAGAACTGTTTTTTGGCCAGAAGCCTTTCATCTTAAACTAACAACAAATGGGGCAAAGTAAAATAAAAAATGAAAAGTAAAATGAAATCAGCTGATAAATTAGGAATTACTGTTTGGTAGAGTAGGAAAGAAGAGCACAAGCTGCAGATTGCTAGTAAACTAAGAACTCTGGGTAGTCAAATAAAAGCAAAGGCAGGATCTGCCATCTTTGCAAATAAGAAAGGCGTTCATTAAATCTGGAAATGGTCACCCCAGTTTCACAAATGTGTGACCAAAGTGAGATTCATTAAATCTGGAAATGGTCACCCCAGTTTCACAAATGTGTGACCAAAGTGAGATTCATTAAATCTGGAAATGGTCACCCCAGTTTCACAAATGTGTGACCTAAGTTAGATTCATTAAATCTGGAAATGGTCACCCCAGTTTCACAAATGTGTGACCTAAGTTAGATTCATTAAATCTGGAAATGGTTGCCCCAGTTTCACACATGTAGCCTAAGTCAGACCTTTTGAGTTAAAAAAACTTTAAAAAATTAATTAAATCATTTGAATGATTGACTTGGTATTGACCATGATTTTTAAGATCAAAAGTCATCAAGACAATAACATCATGACTGGGATTAGATTAAACTGACCACGATAAATGTCAAGGCATGGAATAAATGGTATTAGATTAAACTGACCATGATAAATGTCAAGGCATGGAATAAATAGTATTTGATTGTATGGTTTGCCAAGGTCATTTATTTAATTGTTTTTGGTAAATGTCATATTTAATACTATAATTAAAAATTTCTTTTTTAAAATTTTGTTTGCAGCCGTCACGTTAAACCGAGGAAGCAATGTCAAACATAATACCAATAGTGTCATCATCACCCCCACCGCTTGATGACATGGGTGCAGGTTGGGATGATGATAACGATGAGGATGATGAGTTTGGCAACTTTGCCAGCGCTCCAAATCTAGGGCCCGCAGCAATCACTAGTGTGTCCAGTTTCGATGTGAACTGGTCCAAGTCAGATCTCTCGCTTCCTGAGGATGAGATTCATAATGAGAAGTCAGAGGAGAGCAGAAGCGATGAAAACATCAACAACAGCATTCCAAGTAAATCAGCTTTTAAAGATGAGTGGTTAAATAATAATTCCAAAAGGACAAACTCAGGTGAAGGTAATGAATTTCCTGATTTTGCCCAGTTCAATGGTGATAGAGAAACAGATTGTGATCAACCGGCCAAACAGGATTGTGTCACATCTTCAGCAGAAATTAACGAACATTCTGAAATAGATGCTCACGTCTTTGCTTGTAAGGAAACAAATTTTTCTAATAAACATCCAAGTTCGGACAGTGTCTCTACAGATCATGATTCCTTTTCTTTTGCCGTTTCGAAAAACAATGAATCAGTGTATAGCACTTCATCGACTGTTGACTCGGGTGTTTTCAGCACCGATCTTTCCCCTTCACCCCATGGCACTTTCACATCTGACCTGTACCAGAGCACAGAGGCCTCTCACTTAGAAAAACCAGTGGCTATTTTTAACACTCTTGAAGATTCACTTTCCGGCGATCCATCTGACTACAATTCAAAGGGCGATAAATCACTAGAGGAATTCAATTCTGACTCCCTGCATTCTAGTCCTGATGGAAATGTTCCTCCAGCATTAAGCCAAGCTGTTGAGAGTGAAGACTGGAGCAATTTCGACACGGCTTTGGGCAGTAAAACGACGTCGGCATGGGTTGATGAGAAAGACGCAAAGTCCGTGAACTCTGGGTGCCAAAGAAATGGAATGCCCTCCGAGACCGGAGGAAACCCCGCACATTCCGCACCAGTCACAGACGTAAAAGAGTTCAAGGATTCCACAAACACTTCCGGGGAAGTGGAAGGCGTTTCCAACTCAAGTTCTGCGCCTTTTGGGGATTCCACTGGTGAGCGGTCAGATTTGCAAGCTTCAAGAATCTGTCGAGAAGAAATACACGCAGATCAGTGTCATGAAAAAATTTCATTCCAATCAGACACCTCGTCGGTGGCTCAGGAAGATCACACAAACAGTTTAAATCCGCAGTCTAGTGATGTTGATGAGACGAATGTAGAAATGGTAAGTGGTTCTAATGTGATCTCTCAGGAAAATGACAGTGCGTGGGGAGATTTTGAAGACGCTCCTTGCAGTGATGAAAATGAAGATGTGGAGGTCAGTGAACGGCCTTGTAAAGAATCTCAGGGCCATGAAGGGGGTGTTGTGTCGGAGAATGTCAAATCATCTCGAAACATGTCAGATCTGCAAATCACAGTAATACAAAATGAAAGTGAGACTGATAAAATGGCTGAAAGTGATGAAGCGTTTGTTTCTAAAAATGTAAGCACTATAGATGACTTATCATCCACCACTCCAAATTCCACCCAAGGCAATGATGTTGGTCTTTGTATAGAGAATGTTGAATTTAAAGACAATAGTTTAGCAGACCCGGATGAGGAGGATCAAGAGTTTGGTCATTATGTTAGTCTCCCCGATGAGGAGGTACCGCCGATCACATTTCGAACCAGTGTCTGTGAAACTGAAGAGCCCGATGCTGATTTTGGATTCGATCAAGGGAAACCTCCAGCATTCCATGATGATGACAACGATGATGATGATTTCGGTGCTTTCGGGGAAGCTGATTTAGACGATGATTGTAAGTTTGGTGAATTTGATTCAGCAGCTCGGCCAGCTAATGATGTAGCAGCATCAAGATTTGAGAATGATGAAGATAATGATTTTGGAGAATTCGGCACAACTGACCAGAATACAGAAGGAGAGGCAAGCTGGGCAGACTTTGGACAGGCGGCACCTTTGACCGTGGAGAAGGAGCCTTGCGGATCTGGTGATGTGGATGACAAGTCTCATTCAATGGCATCGTCCAAGGCAGCAGAGCAGAATCAGGTATGTCTGTGTGGTCTTGTCCAGTTACTTACATAAATAGCACATCTGTTTACTCGTACAATATGGTGTACAGTGCACAATTTTGAGATGGTCAAGTACTATTCTGAGACTATATTGTACGATTTGTAGATGGCAAAGTATTATAATAATAGTATAATGTTGATTTTTGGAGTTCCAGGTCTGAAATAAGCACCCTGGTCCTAGAGGTTGACTTCTTATTTCATCTTGTTCATCTTATTTAATATTAAATTTTTACACTGTGGCGTCTTACTTAGATCATCATTGCCAAGTCTAGTATACAATGTATGTCTCCGGGGACAACGTCAAATCTTGTGGTTACATGGAAGAAAGTGTTATCCTTTATTTAAATAAGTTCATAAGTCTTAATTATCTTCTTTCTTCTTCTTTATTTCAAGGGCCCACGATCAATGACTTGATCATTCTGGCTCCTATCTTTTCACAGCTGTCATTCTAATAGGTGCAAGTCCTTGTCTTTTCAGAGTAAGGCCCAAAAACTTGAGAGGGCGGTAGTAAGCTGTTTCCCGGAAACTGTAGAGTTTACACCGGGGCAATTGATTTCAAATCAGGGCTCTCGTAAGAATTCAATGACTGATGCCTCCGACTCCGCTCCAGATCAATCGGACGGCCTGACGCCGCTTGAAATGGTGGTCGAACTGGGTTTGACCAACCCACTCGAAGCAAAGCAGCAGACCTGGACGGTTGTGCAGCATCCAGCAAAGTGAGTTGAGAGTCTCCTCTTTATCTTTTCATTTGTTGTCAGGGATGTAATGTCCTCACAGACTCTGATCATTAATCATCAGGCATATTAAGGGCTAAACTAATGTTTCGAAACACATCTGTTTGTACTCACTCATTTAATACTATTATTTTGATTAATAATTAAAAAATGACAATAAATATACATTTTCTTAATATGCAGGAATAATTCATGAAATCTTGCAGAATTACATATATTTCTTACGGTTATTGAACTTCATTTAACTTAAATCCACATTCTTGCTTCATTTTGTGCGGATCGGCAACGTAAAGCTCGTGGACCGGCGACGGTTCTTGAACACGACTTTGGGAAACACAGATCCTACCATTATAAATATTTATTTTGTGCGGAAAATTCATCAAGACACTTCTTAGGAATTCAGAACAGATCTAAATATCATAAAGTGGCAAAGATTGCTGGTATGCAATTAAAAAAACAATTTCTAAGTGTATATCACTGATTGAAACCAATAGTAACTACTGTTTGTGATATAGTTACATAGTAACTTATAGTTACATAGTAACTACAGTTTATGATATAGTTACATAGTAACTACAGTTTATGATATAGTTACATAGTTACTATAGTTTATGATAGTTACATAGTAACTACAGTTTATGATATAGTTACATAGTAACTACAGTTTATGATATAGTTACATAGTAACTACAGTTTATGATATAGTTACATAGTAACTACAGTTTATGATATAGTTACATAGTTACTATAGTTTATGGTATAGTTACATAGTAACTACATTTTATGGTATAGTTACATAGTAACTACAGTTTATGATATAGTTACATAGTAACTACAGTTTATGGTATAGTTACATAGTAACTACAGTTTATGATATAGTTACATAGTTACTATAGTTTATGATAGTTACATAGTAACTACAGTTTATGATATAGTTACATAGTAACTACAGTTTATGATATAGTTACATAGTAACTACAGTTTATGATATAGTTACATAGTAACTACAGTTTATGATATAGTTACATAGTTACTATAGTTTATGATATAGTTACATAGTAACTACATTTTATGGTATAGTTACATAGTAACTACAGTTTATGATATAGTTACATAGTAACTACAGTTTATGATATAGTTACATAGTTACTATAGTTTATGATAGTTACATAGTAACTACAGTTTATGATATAGTTACATAGTAACTACAGTTTATGATATAGTTACATAGTAACTACAGTTTATGATATCGTTACATAGTAACTACAGTTTATGATATAGTTACATAGTAACTACAGTTTATGATATAGTTACATAGTTACTATAGTTTATGATATAGTTACATAGTATTTACAGTTTATGATATAGTTACATAGTTACTACAGTTTATGATATAGTTACATAGTAACTACAGTTTATGATATACTTACATAGTAACTACAGTTTATGATATACTTACATAGTAACTACAGTTTATGATATAGTTACATAGTAACTACAGTTTATGATATAGTTACATAGTTACTATAGTTTATGATAGTTACATAGTAACTACAATTTATGATATAGTTACATAGTTACTACAGTTTATGATATAGTTACATAGTAACTACAGTTTATGATATACTTACATAGTAACTACAGTTTATGATATAGTTACATAGTAACTACAGTTTATGATATAGTTACATAGTAACTACATTTTATGGTATAGTTACATAGTAACTACAGTTTATGATATAGTTACATAGTAACTACAGTTTATGGTATAGTTACATAGTAACTACAGTTTATGATATAGTTACATAGTTACTATAGTTTATGATAGTTACATAGTAACTACAGTTTATGATATAGTTACATAGTAACTACAGTTTATGATATAGTTACATAGTAACTACAGTTTATGATATAGTTACATAGTAACTACAGTTTATGATATAGTTACATAGTTACTATAGTTTATGATATAGTTACATAGTAACTACATTTTATGGTATAGTTACATAGTAACTACAGTTTATGATATAGTTACATAGTTACTATAGTTTATGATAGTTACATAGTAACTACAGTTTATGATATAGTTACATAGTAACTACAGTTTATGATATAGTTACATAGTAACTACAGTTTATGATATAGTTACATAGTAACTACAGTTTATGATATAGTTACATAGTAACTACAGTTTATAATATAGTTACATAGTAACTACAGTTTATGATATAGTTACATAGTAACTACAGTTTATGATATAGTTACATAGTAACTACAGTTTATGATATAGTTACATAGTAACTACAGTTTATTATAGTTATGAATCACATTTTTAAAAAAAAAAAGAGGATTATTTAATTGGATTAAAAAGAATTTTGCATACAATTTTTGGTGGCTGTAGTTGTGTGTGTGCCTGCGTTTCAACTTCAGGTAGCTTAGCGTTAAATGTTTTATGGCAAGCATGGAAATGAGGGATCCGCAACAATTCACAGATTTTCTAAACTCATTCCACCCATTAAATTTACTTAACCAAACTGGTTACTCATTTTAGTTTTTCCCTCCCCCCCCTCCCCCTTTTCCCGATCATGCTAAGTCTCCATAGCCTTTACCAACTTTCTGAGACTATGTGGTCTCTGCCAGTCAGATGAAGACTTTTTTTGTCTTCTTACGCTCCAGATCCTATCCCAAGACTGCCCTTAGCGTTGGTTCACACTATCAAATTTTCCTTTAAACGTTTTATGCAATTCGTGTTTGAAGGCACTATTTTGTGTGTGGATTTATGGACACAACAGAGAATTTTATTTTCATCTTCAAGCAGTTGTATGATGCGATAACCAATCGAAGATAATTTTTTCGTTCACGGGACTTTACAGCTGATTTCTCAAAATGGCAGCAATTCAAGCAAAGTGCGCTGCGATTAAAATTTTTGAAAACAAGTTATGGTCAAGTTACTCACAACTTCAAAGGATAAATGCCATTTATGATACTTAAAAACTTGGCTTTATTTAAAGTTCACCACCAGAAGCCTGGCACTTAAGGATTGCTCAGACGATGGGCTCTGACTGCCCGAGAATTTAAATAATGGTAAGCTTAACTCGTCATAGATAGTAATGTAATAGTATATCATAGCATATATAGCCATAATAACGTATTACTCTTAGTAGGCTATAGGCGCTATTTATATATTCATATATATTTTATATTAATTAAATAATGCTAGGCCTATAAAGTAAAATCGTCATAGTACTCATATTAAAAGTAGATATAGCATAGTCAGAGGAACTTTCAGCAATTTATGAAACATTCGACTCCCACTGAATAGACCCACTAAATAGTAGGCCTAAATTAAAATACTCAATTGCCATATTACATATTAAATAAATTATTAATATGCATATACTTATGAAGATAAATATAATACTTGTACTACAAATTGTGTAAGTAGCCTTTATACTGTATAATTATAATATTTATAGCTAAGTAGGCCCTATAAATATTTTAAAATATAAAAAACATAATATCATAATAAGCCATTATCATTATGTAGGCCTGATATATGTTGAGTCATAATAAATTAGGATAAGGAATAAAGAAAATACTATTAGAAATCATATAAACTATTATATAGAATAATAATATAGGCCTACTTAATAAAATTAGTGATTAGATTAATTATGCTATCTATTACTTTTGAATATTAGAGTAGGCGTAGGGCCTAAATTATTTTATTTATAATATTATAATTATAATATAGTAGCAAATAGTATAGTAATATAATATAAAATAGAAATGGTTAATAATTTTCAAATATTATATTATATAGCATTATAATCCTAGGCATATCCAAAAAACACTAAACAGAAATTTCAAACCAATTTTTTTTAAAATCCTTGGCAATAAATATGATAGGCCTACTATTATGAGTTGGATATTCTTAATTAAATGTATTAATAGTAATACAGTTATCACAATAATAGTAATAGTCTGGTATAGTATAGAGATATTAATATACTAATAAATCTGCCCTTTTATAATTGATAATGACAAAAATTAGATAATGACAGTATACTTATATTAACATTAATAAATAATACATCCAAAAATAATTTTTTACCAGCCTAATAGTAATAATACATCCAAACATATTTTTTCACCAGTCTAGTTCTAATAAACTGTCATTCAAATTCACAAGCATAAAATGGGTTATGTGTAGAAACTTAATTCTTTTACTGGAACTACCATCATTCTTTTAATCTTACATATTTTAATATATTATTAATGTATATACAAAGATACTTTAAAATTATAAGTATTTTGACATTTTTAGCCAGTTTCTTAAGTAAGAAACTGTTAAGATCTTAAATATTAATGAAACTTATGTTAATATCACAATAAAATCTGATTACCATGTTTGTTCTCCATTGATACCAATTTTATTACCTTTTTATATAATCACAAAATAACCAAAATGAAAGTAACTTTTTCTGCTAAAAAATATACAAAATGTTAAGTAGAAAAAACATGATTGCAATTTTAATGATGAAATTTTGGCCTTACTTATTATTATTATAGTTGTTAAAAGGTTTTCCCTACTTTGGGTGTGACCACCCTAAAATGGTGTGAATGGGCATTTTACCACCCTCCTTCTATCAAACTAAATTAATACTAATCCATTAGGTACTTTTCCCATTCCAAATTTACACTCAGAAAAGGTAGCAACAATTTTCAATTTAACATAGAAAAAATATGATTATAATTTATAACTGAAAACCGAAGAAACAAATCTGGGAGGCTTTTGATTATTCATACTCTTTCCACCAAAAGCTTGAACAAATTAGAAAATTCCAGATTTCAATTACTTTATTGTCTGCATTATCGATCAAGCAACATATATGAGATTCATAATAAATGGGAAATATAAACATATACTCTTTAAAATGAATAGTTGTCTGATCATACCTCTTTAATGTATATATTTACAAAAACATTTTTATCAGCAATGAATAAAATATATTCCTTTTTTGTTTCTTTCAGAAATTATTAAACTCAACAATGACAAGCATTCACAATCCCATAACTTGAAATAAAATAAAATAACAGAATCTTTATAGTCAAAGATGATTGAGACATCATTCCTGTTTTAAATTATGGAACGACTACTACTAATGGTAGTGCTTCTTGATAAGTTCATTCGGCACTGCTTATTTTTAATAAAATTTTAAAACATTTATTTCTGAGTTTTTGTGAAATCTGTGATTGGATTTATATGTTTTCAATTATTTTTAAAAAGAGATTGCCATTCCCTAAAATATTATTCATTATAGTTTAGAGCAGAATTTAAGTAAGAGTACCAGTATGTAAATTATAAACGTATAGATAATTGTACTCAATTTAATTTTTAAAATCTATTACAGAGTACTACGAATGAGTATACTATTAATTTTAATGCATGATTTAGAAATAATTTCCCTTGTTAAAGGAATGTTGACAAAAACCCCGTTACGAAGATCGGATAGAGCTGGAGAAGATATCTAGAGACTAAAAGACATGGAAAGTAATAGTTAATTGGCCCATGCTACACCGGCAGTTATCAGACAGAGAAGAAAATTATTGCAAATTCTCCTTTCTAACTATCTTAAAACTTTTCAAACAGTACTTCAAATTAACATTTAAATGAGTCAAAAAATTATATTGATATTTTTTAAGATTTACTTTTAATTTTATTTATGAATGTGGAGTAGAACTTGAATGTACTTGTACAATGTAACAGTATCCTTCAGAAATGTAAGCTATTTACTGTGATTCTATCTCAAATGAAGGGTGCCTATTTAAATCTGTATTGTATTTAAAGTCAAGTGCTTCTATATTCTAAAAAAGAAGAAAAATAGTGGTCTATAATATTACTCTAACAGAATACTACTAAAATTTTATGTTTATCTGTGGAAATTATTTAAAAATGTAATTATTGACCTCAAGTAAATAAGTAAATCTAACGGTGATAAAAAGGGACATTCATTTGCTATGATATCATTGTTGTTGATTTAGGAAAATTTAATTTCTATTTCTAATTGTTATTTGTAATCAGAAATTCATAGTTCTGGACCAATATTTTCTTTGGCAGTAAAGTGAGCTGGTAAAAGTTCTCACTGATCCGAGTTTCAGTTGTAAACATTAATAGATACAAAATAAAAAGACTAAATAAAAGTATAATTAATACGTTTAAAAATTGATTTATGAAAATTGATGCCATGTTATTACTCTACAACTATTTTAATTATATTGCCCGAAACTTCTACCCTGTTATCAGTTATGTTACTGTCACATCCATTCCTAATGCCTTGTTAGTTATATTTAGATGGGTAAATAACAATAAACTAATAAACGTTTATTTAAACGCGCAACACCCCTTCAACTCATTTTTAATTTTGTCGGAGCTGACCTGGAGCTGAAAAAATTTTGTAAATTTGTCCTGAACGGAGTTTGTCAAAAAAGCGTGCTCCTAAACCGTTCAGGACTAAACCATTCTTGTGAATGTTATTTTTTAAACTTTATACTTTATTAATATTAATACAATTTTAAAAAGTGCTAGTCGGCATTCCAGATAGTTGTGTGGCGTAGAATTCCCAGAATGAGTCACGCAGTTTAGACAGTAATTGCTTTTTTTTTAAGTGCCAACATAGAAATTTATAGATAGTCGCAGATTCGTAGAAGCCAGTAGTAGTAGTTTAGTAGTGAAGCCAGTAGTAGTAGTTTAGTAGTGAAGCCAGTAGTAGTAGTTTAATAGTGAAGCCAGTAGTAGTAGTTTAATAGTGAAGCCAGTAGTAGTAGTTTAATAGTGAAGCCAGTAGTAGTAGAAGTTTAATAGTGAAGCCAGTAGTAGTAGTTTAGTTGTGAAGCCAGTAGTAGTAGAAGTTTAATAGTGAAGCCAGTAGTAGTAGTTTAGTTGTGAAGCCAGTAGTAGTAGTCTAGTAGTGAAGCCAGTAGTAGTAGTTTATTAGTAAAGCCAGTAGTAGTAGTTTAGTAGTGAAGCCAGTAGTAGTAGTTTAGTAGTGAAGCCAGTAGTAGTAGTTTAGTAGTGAAGCCAGTAGTAGTAGTTTAGTAGTCATATGATTTTGATTAGTCTAGTCTAGTCCTACTGACAACGCTTAGTGCCACAGTTGCTGCGAATATGCTTTATAAGTAAAACGCCTATTTCAAAAATAAATTACAATTATATCATGCCCTACGCCCAATTATTTTCTAGTTTTTTCTATTTTATTTTTTTCTAAATTAAGTAATTCTTATTTGGAAGCTGTTATTGTTTCACAACTTAGCGTAGTCAATGTAAACACAACTGAGCATAGTCAATGTAAACACAACCTAGATTGACGAACTTCTTTTTAATGTTTGTTCACGTGATGTGGAGGTTGCTCAATAACAATAAAACTAAAATAAATTGCATGTCATCGAAATTTGATCAAATGATGATTTGAAAGTTGTGACAAGGCTTCAAACACGGCTTCATACACAGATTGCATCAAATGTTTGAAGGAAAATTTGATAGTGTGAAACAACCCTTATGTGGAAACTCAATTGTAGCAGTCAGACTGAGGCTTTTAAATCTCATTTTAAAAAAATTGAGGGTAAGACAAAACTCATCCTTACCCACCACCCTTAAAAAACTCATCCTTACCCACCACCCTTACAAAACTCATCCTTACCCACCACTCTTAAAAAAACATCCTTACCCACCACTCTTACAAAACTAATCCTTACCTAACACCCTTACAAAACTCATCCTTACCTACCACCCTTACAAAACTCATCCTTACCTACCACCCTTACAAAACTCATCCTTGCCTACCACCCTTATAAAACTCATCCTTTCCTACCACCCTTACAAAACTCATCCTTGCTACCACCCTTACAAAACTCATCCTTGCCTACCACCCTTACAAATCTCATCCTTGTCTACCCTGACACTAACAGGGTATTCTGATCTCCACTTATTTTCTTGAGACAGGATAAAAATCTATGTGACCTTATGGTTCACAGTCGCTTTAGAGCTGACCCCTCTCATGTTAAGACTGAACCATTATCAAGAAGCTGGGACCTTGACCATCAAAGAGGGCTTCACATGTGTTAGTCAAAATGTGATCGATGTGTTTGCCAAAGATGCCTTTTCTGTTATATAGCTGAGACGGGTAGAAGTCTATCTGATAGGTTCACTGAACATCTTTGTGGTATTGAACAAACGTGACTCCCCAGTCTCCAACTTTTCCCTATTTGAGATGTTCTCACACACAGGTTTTGATCTTAATTTATAATTATCTGTTTTTTTTTCTTGTTTTGTCTTGGCTTGCTGAAGAAGGCATCTTGTCAAAACGTCCCTTTAATTGTCCTGTATTTTCTTTTCAAGCGTAAACATTTTTTCTTACCACTATTGATCTTAACATATCTTCTTACCACTAGATTTATTTGTTAAAAGTTTAACACTTCCAGTTAGCAAATAAGATGTAAAAAACTCTGATTGCAGGAAAGATCCAAAGGTACGTCTTTGGAACAATCTGAAAGATGTTGATTCTAGTCATGCCCTGGTTTACAGCTGGCCTGTGTCTCACTGCAGTAAAGAAGTCTACGGAACACTACACATAGATACTCAGAATGTCGTAAGTAAAGGTCGACCACGGAAGAAAGGATTCTGCTTTCAATTAAACTCTCAAACTGAATTGTAAGAGAAAAATTTCTTGTAAAAAAAAAAATTAAAAAAAAGTTTATGCCATCAAGATAAGTTTTGAAAGTTTCAATGTACCTGTTTCTGTCAATGTACCTGTTTCTGTCAATGTACCTGTTTCTGTCAATGTACCTGTTTCTGTCAATGTACCTGTTTCTGTCAATGTACCTGTTTCTGTCAATGTACCTGTTTCTGTCAATGTACCTGTTTCTGTCAATGTACCTGTTTCTGTCAATGTACATGTTTCTGTCAATGTACCTGTTTCTGTCAATGTACCTGTTTCTGTCAATGTACCCCTGTTTCTGTCAATGTACCTGTTTCTGTCAATGTACCTGTTTCTGTCAATGTACTATTTCTATAAATGTACTTGTTTCTGTCAGTGTACCTGTTTCTGTCAGTGTACCTGTTTCTGTCAGTGAACCTGTTTCTGTCAATGAACCTGTTTCTGTCAGTGTACCTGTTTCTGTCAGTGAACCTGTTTCTGTCCATGAACCTGTTTCTGTCCATGAACCTGTTTCTGTCAATGAACCTGTTTCTGTCAATGAACCTGTTTCTGTCAATGAACCCGTTTCTGTCAATGTACCCGTTTCTGTCAATGTACCCGTTTCTGTCAATGAACCCGTTTCTGTCAATGTACCTGTTTCTGTCAATGAACCTGTTTCTGTCAATGAACCTGTTTCTGTCAATGAACCTGTTTCTGTCAATGAACCTGTTAATATCTTTGTACCTGTTTCTGTCAGTGTAACTGTTTCTGTCAGTGTAATTGTCTCTGTCAGTGTAACTGTTTCTGTCAGTTTAACTGTTTCTGTTAGTTAACTGATTCTGTCAGTGTAGCTGATTTTCTTAATGTACCTGTTTTTGTCAATGTACCTTATTCTGCCATTGTAACCGTTTCTGTCAGTGTAGCTTTCTTTTGTGTGTTTAATATTAAAATATTTGGTCATTCAACCTCTTGCCTCTTAACAGCTCTTCTCTCAGAAGAAACAAGCCGTTCCATTCTTTGCCTCAGGACTGATACTGGAGCCCATCCGGGGCGGTGAGAACAAGGCTCTTAAGCACACCCAGTCACCAGCCGGACTTCTGGACTCTAACAGACATGAGCAACAACAGACAGTGTCTACTGTACAGGTAACTAAAAAATCAGTCACTTCTGTACAGCTAACTAAAAATATCAGACATTATCTTCTGTACATTCTGTAAAGATAACTAAAACTATCAGACAGTATCTACTGTACAGGTAACTAAAAATATCAGAGAGTATCTACTGTACAGATAACTAAAAATATCACACAGTAACTACTATACAGGTAACAGAAAAATATCACACAGTAACTACTGTACAGGTAACTAAAAATATCAGACAGTATTTACTATATAGGGAACTAAAAATATCAGACAGTAACAGCTGTACAGGTAACAGAAAAATAATTCATAAGGAATGTTGTCAGTGTTCCAAGCCAAGGCTCTTATGGGCCCTTCGGGAATCCCTATACTTGCACCTTCCCCACCCCAAGGGGGATGTGCCGCAAAGCTGCTGCCACCCCCTCACCCCCGAGATGTCTAGCCCTAATGGCCCACCACCTGGCCACCCCAGAAATGCCAAAGTGGCAGCTTCTTTGTAATTTTGACCTTAGAATACAAGACAACATTTATAATAAAACAATTTTTTTTAGCTTTTCAAAAAAGTTTCAGTAAATATTTATTCTTATTAAATCCTTTATATGAACTCATTCCCGATGGTTGCGACTTAATGTGTCCTTGGGGGGTTTTTCCTGCGTCCAAATGCGTTCCGGCGCATAGCGACACACCTCTCTTATTTTTAGTTAAAAATAGCAATGAAATCTCGTGTCCCTCGAGACTTCCTGATATGGTGTGATTTCTGCTGGATTTTAATTTAAAAACCGGAAGTTTTTATCTCGTTTCACTTTAAAACTACATGTGCTTTAGAACAGCACGTCTATATGTAGCATGAGTTCGTCCGAGGTGCCAAAAATCAACATTTTGGCCATTGTTAATTATTTTTTCGCCACTAATGTTATATTTTTTTTTTAAACCTTATTCATTTTTTTATGCATTCGTCCTTATTTCATTAACATTTATTATTATTTAGCAGCTTAAAAAATATTTTAAAAATGTAAAACAATTTCAAAACTGAGTTGCTTCCCTTTTCTCAGGAAAATAAATTAAGTAGGAGTTGAGAAGTAGTACTCCCGGAGGGAATGAGTTATCTTCGCTTTTGTGTTGAGGGCAAAATCTTCAGTTGGCTAATTGACCCACTTCCTGTCAATCTTTTGAGCTGAAACTTGGCACATAGACTCCTTTGCCAATTGCAGCACATTCGGGCCCCCAATAATCAGTTTTTCCTGTTTTTCAAGGGGAACATGAAGGAAACTGATGACACTGATTTCATGAAGGAAATATGATGACACCGATTTCATGAAGGAACTATGATGACACCGATTTCATGAAGGAAATATGATGACACCGATTTCATGAAGGAAATATGATGACACCGATTTCATGAAGGAAATATGATGACACCGATTTCAAGAAGGAAATATGATGACACTGATTTCATGAAGGAAATATGATGACATTGATTTCATGAAGGAAATATGATGACACCGATTTCATGAAGGAACTATGATGACACCGATTTCATGAAGGAACTATGATGACACCGATTTCATGAAGGAAATATGATGACACCGATTTCATGAAGGAAATATGATGACACCGATTTCAAGAAGGAAATATGATGACACTGATTTCATGAAGGAAATATGATGACATTGATTTCATGAAGGAAATATGATGACACCGATTTCATGAAGGAAATATGATGACATTGGAAGGAAATATGATGACATTGATTTCATGAAGAAAATATGATGACATTGATTTCATGAAGGAAATATGATGACATTGATTTCATGAAGGAAATATGATGACACTGATTTCATGAAGGAAATATGATGACATTGATTTCATGAAGGAAATATGATGACATTGATTTCATGAAGGAAATATGATGACATTGATTTCATGAAGGAAATATGATGACACCGATTTCATGAAGGAAATATGATGACATTGATTTCATGAAGGAAATATGATGACATTGATATCACTAAATAAAATGCTCAATAACTGTGCCGCACTGACTAGTTCAATGCTGTGTATTTTTTTGTATTTTTATGCCTGAAATTGTTTTTTGATATTAACGTACTAAATAACTTTACTGTAACTCTCTACACGCGCAAGTCAGGTTTTTCACATTTTACAAGAGACCCTTAAAACTAAAAGCTTTAGACACCAATTTTTTTAATATGTGACAGAAAATTTACTTTTTACTTTTTACTAAAGCAATTTAGAAAATATATAATTTTAAAAGTTTTTTTTTTTATACAGGACATGGGGAAGTCCCGACCTGTAGTAAAATTGAAACTATTGGACTTATGCTTTGCTACATTTTTGTAGGTGTGGAAAATAACTGGGCTCTTCTTGATAAATAACTTGATTTTTGTTCAAACTTGATTTCTTCTCCTCAGGATATCCCACCGGTAGATTTTGACTGGAGTAGCAGCGGTTTGACCAATCCACTTACAGGTATTTTTCTTTCAGTGTATCTCCATGTACCATTTACCAGGGGAAAGTCTTATAAACCCTTGCCTGCTTCTTTTGTGTTATGTAGCAAGGTTTAGGGAGGTCTGGTACATTGACTCACATCTATTTACTCATTGCATTTAATCAGGGTATTTACTTACTTCATCAAATCACAAAGGTATATTTGGTAGTGCACATTCATTTGAACTGTCACGTGACAGTGATATAAATTATTAAGCAAGGCAATGGTGGTTTCTTCTTGTACGTGACATACGGCCCCGGTTGTAGTTTAGCCAACACCCCTTAATGTTATGGCTGTGAGGAAACTAACAAATTGATGTCGCTAGACATGTCAGGACTGCAATGGACATTTAGAGCAGATGTCACATTTGTTGGCATAATATTTGATTGTTTTAGAGCAGTGGGTGGGTCTAAGACTGGTTCAGAGCGGGTCAGGCTACCATGGGTGGGTCTAAGATTTGTTCAGAGCGGGTCAGGCTACCATGGGTGGGTCTAAGATTGGTTCAGAGCGGATCAGGCTACCATGGGTGGGTCTAAGATTTCTTCAGAGCGGGTCAGGCTGCCATGGGTGGGTCTAAGATTTCTTCAGAGCGGGTCAGGCTGCCATGGGTGGGTCTAAGATTTGTTCAGAGCGGGTCAGGCTGCCATGTCACATTAGGGGCCCTGCCTCATCCCCTTTAAAATAAAAAAAGGGGCCGCTAGTTTACTCTAGAGTGTCACCGTGATATTTTACCCTGAAAAGAAAAGCCCCTTTAGTGTTGAAACTATTTGACTGTCTTAAGTTTGTATTCCATTGTGTAAATAACAATATACAATAATAAAAGCCTGGAGATATCTGCTTATCCCATGTTCCCAGATTTAAAATGATTAATTTACCCAAAAACCACATTATGTGATATCCACCGTTGCTTCTGATATATTCATTTCACTGCTTTCTATGTTGTTACCACATAAATCATCTCTTTTGAGCAAAAAGGAAACATTTCTGCTGTTTTCAGAAATTTTTTCTTTTATTAAAAAAAAATTATCCTGGTATCAATGATACCAACGAATTCAACGAATCGTATAGATATAAACGTAAGGTCAATGAATTAGTACAGATTCAATAAGTATTCTGTGCTACAGATCACTGGTCATGGACACCAAAAACCTTCTTGCTCAGGTTTAAAGGGCTTGGTCACTCCAAGTAGTTGTAGCAGCTCCTTTTTAACTTAAAACCTTGTTGACATCTCATCACAATGCTTTGGATGATCCATAGATCCATATAATCTCTGCACCTACTGTACAAGCTTTTGCCATTACAAGCTTAAATAGAGCTGGTTTTAAGTTTTGTCGCTTTTGTAATATTTTTAAGGCAATTTTTTTTTCTTTACGGATTATTTAAAAAAAAAAAAAAAAATTCTTCAATTCTTTGAATTTCTTACAAGTGACGGGGAGTTGGCTGAAGTTTGCTTTATATATATATTCTTCTCTTCTCTAGCTTTGATTCACAGGACATGTGAGAAGACATCGTAGTTGTCAGCACCGGCTCATTGTTTTTCTTGTCTTATTTTAACGCTCTTTAATGTACATATGCTGTATCTTTCCAACTAAAATTTTGTGTTATGTTTATTCTATTTCTCTAACCCCACCCCCCCCCCCTCCCAAACCGCCACCACCAACCACCTCATGCTATCTTCATTAAACAATTTTCATATTTACCGGAAGTCAATCGTTTTTTTTCTTTTTCCTGTTCATTTCTTCTCTTCTCTAGCTTTGATTCACAGGACATGTGAGAAGACATCGTAGTTGTCAGCTCCGGCTCATTGTTTTTTTTGTCTTATTTTAACGCTCTTTAATGTACATATGCTGTATCTTTCCAACTAAAATTTTGTGTTATGTTTATTCTATTTCTCTAACCCCCCCCCCCCCCCCCTCCCAAACCGCCACCACCAACCACCTCATGCTATCTTCATTAAACAATTTTCATATTTACCGGAAGTCAATCGTTTTTTTTCTTTTTCCTGTTCATGTCAGCGTCTAAGATTGAACTATAGGAAGTCTCATTCCCATCATGTTTTCTGACTTTAGCGGCACACTGACCTATTCTGTAAGCGGCACACTGATGTATTGTGTTTTTTCATTTTAACCATGAATAAAATTATTACTAAAACACTATGAAATATTGTGCTGACTCCATTTTGAAGTTCAAGTTTGAGTGGTGACCCCATGGTGACCCACTACCAAATCTTTCTATTTTTTGTAGGTCTATTTTAAATCTTCATCACTTTATTTGATCAAAGAATACAGCAAACAAGTTCAAATGATTTTTTCTGACTGTACAACCCAACTCCCCTGGGGTGATTGTCTCTCCCTGTACAACCCAACTCCCCTGGGGTGATTGTCTCTCCCTGTACAACCCAACTCCCCTGGGGTGATTGTTTCTGACTGTACAACCCAACTCCCCTGGGGTGATTGTCTCTCTCTGTACAACCCAACTCCTCTGGGGTGATTGTCTCTCTCTGTACAACCCAACTCCTCTGGGGTGATTGTTTCTGACTGTACAAACCAACTCCCCAGGGGTGATTGTTTCTGACTGTACAACCCAACTCCACCGGGTTGATTGTTTCTGACTGTACAACCCAACTACCTAGGGAAAAGAGGCTGTACTTCCTCTGGAGGAATGTCATGCATAACTGACCATCTACCAGCATAATAATCAGCCAGAGAGCTGCATAAATGTTTTCTACATTTTAACATGTTTGCTGATGTTCCATGAAATTTTATTAATTTTTTTGCTCTGTACTTCCTGAATTCAAACTGTATAACTTTATTTCTACAATTTTTTAATATTTTTGTTTGCACTTCATGTCTCATTTGAACACTGCTGGAAATAAGTGTGGCACCCCCCCTCTGACTGCAAAACATCCCCTGGACTCATTGCTATTGTGTGGATAATCCTGGATTTCCTTTCCAATGAGGTCCTTGCAATGACTGCAATAATCTGGTGTAGTTAATGAGACATCACAAAGTTTTTGTCATGACTCTTGACACACTGTCGTGACAGTAGCAGCTCTCTCAGTAATTCTACACACCCTAGAGATGCTAGCAGTTCGCTCAGTAATTTTACACAACCATGTGACAATAGCATTTCTCTCAGTAATTCTACACACCCTAGTGACGCTAGCAGTTCTCTGTTATACTACACACCCTTGTGACAATAACATTACTCTCAGTAATTCTACACACCCTAGTGATGCTAGCAGTTCTCTGTTATACTACACACCCTTGTGACAATAACATTACTCTCTGTAATTTTACGCAACCACTTGACAGTAGCAGTTCTCTCAGAGCCTCTACACATCCAAGGGAACAATGCAGTCCTCTCAGTAATTCTCTTAGTCTTAGTGACTCTGACCCAGCAAGACAACAGCCCATCTCCAAAATATTTATCCTAGTGATTCTCAGACACTCATGGATCTATCCAATCTCTCTTACCAACCTCCTGAGACCCGACACATCAAGCGATACATGTAGTTTCCTTCTGTCAGTGACTGACACACGTCCCAGTGTATTTAATTGTCATGTGGCTCCTCCAGTGACTGTCACTACTCACTCAAAGACCTTGTTGTAAGTTCATTGCTTAGACTTAGCCTGTTTTCTTCTTCTCTCCACTTTGTCACCAGCGAACACGCTAGACTTAGATTTTCTTGTCGTTCAGGGAAGCGACTCTTATGAAAAGGCGTCAGGTGAGTTGTCCCCCTTGATTATTGTAAAGAACGACCCGTGTGATGTCACTAAATTGTAAATGTAGCATCTTTGTCCTAGTCCTAGGGAGCATAGATTAACATTTTCAAACTTTTTTTTTTTATTACAAAGAAATATTAAATGAATAAGCCTAAACATTATTCACCCATTACTCAAGTTTGGTGTTCTAAATTAAATCAAAATTAAATTTTAATTTTCTTTATGTGAATCAAATTATGTTTTCCCCGTTACAATTTGAATTTGTGTTTCACAGCAGTTGAAGTTTGCCCTTATTCTTTAAATTTTGAATTTTCCTTTTTTTAAAAAAAAAAAAAAAGAAACCTATCTTGTCATTTTCAACACAAAAAAAATGATTACATATATGTATAAAAATGAAATTGAAAGTCTTGCACAATTTTTTTGAGATTTAAACAGAAAGTGTTTCTGTGCTGTTCTAAGTAGTTTAAAAAAACAAAAAAACAAAAAAAAAAAAAAAAGGTGAAACTTAGTACATGTGCTCTCTTGATATAATTTTTATGAAAATTTAGGTAATTAACTTATGAGATAATCAGATAAATTTGTTTCTTGTTTTTATTTTGATCTTCCGATAGCAGAAGATTCGAGAATTTAGTTTTCATTTTAAAATCCTGGTGGCAACACCTTAAATGACACAGGATCAAACTGAATTTGAAATTTTGAGAAGCATTGTCCAAAACTTTTGTTAAATGAACTAGACTAGTTTTCCTCACACTTTTTAAAGTTAGACTTAAGTTTAAAAACAAAAATCTTAAAGCCATTTTTGTGTCAAACTAATGCATAATTTATGCCAATTTTCAAATAATAACAAAGAATTTAAAAAAAATTGATATAAACTTGGATAAGTCAATTGGTAAACTAAATTGGATAAGTAAAATGGATAACTAAATCTTATTAATTGTAAATTTGTTGGTATTGTTAAATAAGTTTTAAGTCATTCATAATAAATTAAATGAATGCAGTCTCAGCATGAAATTAACTGTTTATAAAAAAATGAGACTAAAAGAAATGAAACATTTATATGTTTTTGTATTGACAAGAACCTTTACCATGTGAATAGTGTCCATTTAAAAAAAAAAAAGCATTTGATCTTGTATTTATTGACTTTGATTTGAAATCATTGCGTATCTATCAACAATGTATCTGTGCTTTTGTATTAGTGCAAATTTTAGTGCTTTTCTTGACATTGAACAATTGACTAACCAGCATTTTGATATCACTTTTGTCCTCTTTCATGCTAACACACTCACAGATGAGTGGGATTGGGGTAAGACCTGTTACGTTGCATCTCACTCAGATTGGAACATTTTTTTCTGTTGGATTGAGGATGTCCTTTTTTTTTCTTCTCTGAAACTGATTTGTTTTATTTTCTTACTTTTTAAACTCTTTGATTAATTAAAAAAATTCCTTGGTGAAGCGGTTAAAACATTTTAAATAGCTTGTTGAAAACTGAAAATTATGTTTGACTCCTTTTAAGGTTGTGGTGTGTTGGGTTAAGTTTATGGAACGCGGAAACAAGACCCAACCATTTCTTTGCTAAAATTTATGTTCCTTGTAAATTAAAAAAAAATATCAATATACTTATATGGCGGGAGACTGGTGGCCTTGCACACTTTGAATTGATTTAGTTGGTCCCAACAGTTACACTTAAGAAGACGACACACCCCCCCCCCCTTAAAAAACCCAACCTTTTGATTGCTTTCCTTGACTGTCCAAGTTTCAGGCAATGACATATTTATTAGTAATACTTTTTTTTTTATCTTTCTATTTTTCTTATCTTTTCGTATGTGAAGGCACACAAATAAAATGAAAGAAAAAAAATTCTAGTCGCAAGAATAGACCTTTCCAGTGGCTTTGTTGTTGATGAATTGACTTGCTGTTTTATTGTTCTTGGCATGTATGATGACACTGTTCTAAGGCTGAACACCCTCCTGTCCTGTTTGCTTAATATGGCAATAACAATTTTCTTTTCAATTATAAATTATTATTCTTATTTGGATGTTCTTATGTTTTTTTATGTCCATTTCCTTCCATCTTTTAAACTGTGCAGTGTCGTATCTCATTGTTGTACATCAGTGTTGTATCTCAGTGTTGTATCTCATTGTTGTACATCAGTGTCATATCTCAGTGTTGTACATCAGTGTAGTATCTCATTGTTGTACATCAGTGTCGTATCTCATTGTTGTATGTCAGTGTTGACTGTCCCCGTGAACATGAAAGCTAACTGAACTGTTTGGGTTTTTGAAGAAAGATTCTATACACATCCATTAAAACTGGCAATAATCCCAACAATTATGTTCATGTATTTAGGGGTCAATTTTTAGGCTCTGATGTTTAGAAAATCTTTGGGTTCCTTAGTATAACAATATATTACTAGAGACACACCACATTGTGACTGTAGATTCTGGAGCCAAATACAGAATAGTAATCCAATAGAAAATGTGGCATTTACAAAATGACCAGTAAATAACAAAATAAACATTCTGATATTTACACAGTAATTATTTAAAGGCTTAACATGCTGATATTTACACAGTAATTACTTCAAGGCTTAATGGGGTGACAAAAATCAGTAGCATGCAGCTATGTTAAGACACAGATAAAAATTAAAATTTATAAGTTCATTTTAAGTACAGTACAGCCAACGATTTGGTGCATCCCCGAGCCATAAGCATATTAAAAATGATTGTTATGATTTGTTATGACATTCAAGCTATTTATTTCAACAGCTACTTAGGACTAGATCTGACTCACAAATTTGGCTACTGTAGTTTAAGACTGTAGGTGTACAACAGTCAGGAATCTTGACATGGAACTGTCAGCCATCTTTTCATTGTCCCGGCTTCACTTTTCTGCTCTCTGTTGAATGTCTTTTGCACTTTGAGCTTCTTCCTTTGGTGTCACTCGAGTGAAACGATTCCTGTCTCACTGCCAATAATGCATGATATACAAAATAAAACTAGATCTTAATGCATTTCATTGTTTAGCAACTTTAGCTCTATATAATTATAAGGGTGTTGGACTGCGATAAAGCTTTCAAGTAAATTAATTAGACACAAACAATTTGTGTAAATAAAAAAATACACGTTCAGCTTTAATGATGAATATACAGAATACAAATGTATACAAAGGTTTTCGGCAATGGCCTTCATCAGTTCAAAAAACAAAAAAATTTCAAGCACCTATAAATTAAATTTACATAATATTAATAAATTTTTTTATCCTAACTAAAAACGTGAGAAAAGAATAAGAGTGGGCGCAATTCCCTGACAAAAACATCCCTGAGAGACTTGGGCCCATTCTTATTCCTTTCTCTCATTTATTTTTAGGTAGGATACATGTATATATATATTGTAAATTAAATTTGATACTTGTATGAATGTTTTTTGTGTTTTTTTTTGTACTGATGAAACATTGACCTTTGTATTCTGTATGATCATTATTAAAGCTGAACGGATATTGTTTTATTTACACAAATTATTTGTGTCTAATTAATCTGTGGCTATACAACAGTACCTCCCTTGTTTGCTCCAGTTTATAAAACGTAACCAATGTGCAATGGTGTAGTCTTTAATATTAAACAGTTTTAAAGTGAACACATCTTGTTTAGAAACAATATTCATTTGTACCGATAAAATTATTCATGTTAATTTATTGTTTCGTATCATTTGTTCTGTTTCAGTTTTTAAGGCCGACTGTCAGGAGTCCACCCGCTCCTCTCTGCAGCCGCTGGAAGATATCCTGAAGAAAAGTACGCCTACTGCAAAGCTGGCGACTCATGAAGTCCTGTCTCCTGAAGCCTTGCGCATATTGGAAAAGATGCCGGATTTGAGTTTTATGCAGTCCAGGGTGCTGATGTTTCCAGTCAAACAATGAGTTCACCTACTTACAACACAACAGTTGACATCACACAGAGACCATAATAAAAGTTTATTAGAGATTGCATCAGACTGAGATTTCATTAGACTGAGATTGAATAAGACTAAGATTGCATGACTGAGATTGCGTCAGACTGCCATAATGGAATCTTAGCAGACGTCCATGTTAAAAACATAATTTGTAATGTTCAGATGTGACATATTAACTTTTTTTAAAAGGCAGCCGACCAGGATTAAATGCTCATTGATGAGTTGAACACAACCAAACCCCAGCTTATCGCAAGAATCATCTACATCCTCAGCCAGCCTCTAACTAGTTATTTTACAATTTGCTTCTTTGAAAGGAAAACAAAACATGTCTAAGCTATGTGTTTCCCTCACCTCTGCGTCATTACATCATTTCAGGTCATGTTTCTGCACATCTGATGGAGAAAAACAAACAAGTTCATCGTAGGTCTTGCCTTGTCTCCTTCTTGACACGAGGACTGTCACTTTGATTTAACCTACGTCATGTCTTTAATTTATTTGGGTCTGTTTAAGCTGTGGTCTTTCGTTTTGATCACGGACAGCTCTCAATTTAATAACAGGTTACATTCCATTCTGTATATACGATGTGATCCTTTATGTAAGAGTTAATTTTTACATGCAATCCCTGTATTAAATCTCCAGTTGTTGCGTTTTATTATTTATTATGTTACCTTACCGACGTAAATAAAGCGCAAAATATTAAGAGACGCAAGATTCTGTAAATGGTTCATTAAGAAATTTCATCTGATAATAATAAAATTGTAATGTTCTCCATAGAAGCATCACTATTTGATTATTTTTTTAGAAGACAAAATTGTAATGTTCTCCATAGAAGCATCACTATTTGATTATATTTTTAGAAGACAAAAATGTAATGTTCTCCATAGAGAATTTTTGTAAATTGAATGTTACTAAATTGAGAACTGCCGGTATTTGGTTTTAGTTTGACCATTCCATGCAAGATTTACATCTGCTTTTGTCAGGTTCATTGCATTTGTGTTGGCCAGGTGTTTTTGGAGAGTATTTTTTTTTTAATGCACAATATGATTTACCATTTTGGTGTAGATTTTTAAATATATCATTAAACTGATGTGGGTGTTTCAAAAAGATGATTGTTTAACTTTCTACCACAATGTATAAAATGATGGAGTCTTGTTAAAATATATTTAAAAAGAGACAAATGCAATTAGTGACACAGTCAAGGGAAAAGAAAATTGGGAGAACACCCCCCCCCCCTGAAATTTATTGTGGAGAACCCTTTTTTTTCCCCCCCATATAGGAGGAATAGTTATCACGTATTGTATTTGTGTTTGCCTAAAAATGTTGGTAGGAGGAATAGTTATCACGTATTGTATTTGTGTTTGCCTAAAAATGTTGGTTACGGTGTCTGCAGTGTCGACCAAATTATGTTTTATTTCTAGTTTGTAGATTACGTAAGGATTTTTTTATATTATTGCTGTTTTTGTTTTTTTTAAAATCTCAAATGGTTTTCAAGTTGTTTGTGATCCTTTTCCCTTCTATCTAGGAGAGTATAACAATGGGATACAGACTAAAGATTGTAAAAAATCTGACCAGTTGATCTTGTGTGTATTGTTTAAGAAGCATTTCTGTTTCACAGTTGTTTGTTCATGTTTTCACAATTTTGATTTCCTGTCCAATATTTTCAGTGGTCTTTCATTATCTAATCTAAGGCTCTGAGTTTTTAAAGAACTAGAAAACAAGGAAACTAAAAAGTAGAATTGTTTCTCTTTAAAACAGCAATAGCAAGAACTAACCAATGGTTACACCATTTCATGAATATATTCATTCTTAACTACCACCTTATATATTTTTTTATGAATTTTCATTTTTATAGAAGGGGGGGGGGGGGGGGGGGGGGGAAATGCCACCATGGTCTGTTTATTTCCCCAAAGGCATATTGAGAACAATTACATTCCTCATTACAAGTGTTGAAAATAATGTATGAAATTTTTATGTTAACAAATCAAGAACGCGTCGTGTGTGCTTATTTCTTGTACGGTTCGGTCAGCGGATTTCTAATTTTAAACCATTTCCCATCAGCTGTCAGGGAAACTATTTAGTCTGGTGATTTGTAGTTAGTTCCATGTTACTGACTAAAATTCAAGCAAATATGTTGTGGCTTACCATTGTTCCACTCAAGATACCTGATGGCTAGTGTGGTGCTTGAAGGCTGATGTGGTGCTTGAAGGCTGATGTGGTCCTTGAAGGCTGGTGTGGTGCTTGAAGGCTGATGTGGTCCTTGAAGGCTAGTGTGGTGCTTGAAGGCTGATGTGGTCCTTGAGTTGTGGCATCAAATATGGTGTCTGCTTGTTTATTGCTTGTTGAAGCAGTTGCCATAAGAGGATGAACTCATGCAAAGAGTTGGACAAGCAGTTGCAGCAGTTACCAAATGGGGATGAACTCATGCCAAGTGTTAAGGGTATGTAACATGATGGTAATTCTTTTCTTTGACTTTAGTGATCATTAGAAATAAAAGAGAGGTGGATGAGAAGCTGGTGTCAAGTTTCTATAAATATTGGTTTCATTTTTAAAATCTTGTGGTTCAAAAAATTGGCTTCTGAAGAGTTTTAAGGTATTTAATTTAGATTGTTTATATAGGTGCATAGTGTGTGATGACGGTGGAAAGTGTCTTGTCAAATCAGACTTAATGTCTGTGTGTGATGACGGTGGAAAGTGTCTTGTCAAATTAGACTTAATGTCTGTGTGTGATGACGGTGGAAAGTGTCTTGTCAAATCAGACTTAATGTCTGTGTGTGATGACAGTGAAAAGTGTGTTATGAAATCAAGCTTAAATCTTATTTCATTGGGTCTAAATGTTCCCATAAATGATTGCCAGACTGAGAATGATATGCCCGTTCATTTTGTGCAACTCTGTTCATCAGATGTTTAGCTATAATGCAAGCCTCGTGGCAAATGATGGATCCCAACAACTATATTATATATGGTCAGTGAAGAACGTTAGGAAAGAACCCTATGTAGTGTTAGACACAAGATTACAATCGTGGAGTTCTGACAATTAATAAAGTAGATGTCACAACTAGATGTCCTTAATGATTATGATGATGTCACTAAGTAGATGTCACCAAGTGGATGTCATTAAGAGGATGTAACTAAGTAGATGTCAACAAAACTGAAGGTTACTTATACAGAAGTGTTAAGAATTGTTTCTGTTACCGTTGCTCCTGCTTTTTAAATGGTTGTAAATTAATTCAATTGTGTGCAATATGTGACAAGAGTAATGGCCAGTGCTGTGCCAGAAGTAATTTAAGAAATGTAACTGTAACTCAATGTAATTAACTGTATCGGTTTGTTTAAACAAGATCTTCGCATAGATATTTAATGATATATGTATCTATATTATATTGTCTTTGATGCTGAGGGTTGTTGTTGAATTTTACCTGTGAGAAAAGAATTTAACGATATATTAAACATCTTTTGTTGTATCTGCCAGGAGCAGTCTTGTGTGATTAATCTTATTTTGATTTGAACCCTGTCCTGTACCTGGTAAAATGTCATTCTGCCATTTCTGAGTTGACAAGAATTTACCTCATGTCTGCAGTCAGGTGCTGTATTAGTCCACTGAAATATCCTCCCCCCACCCGCTAATCTTTACTCAGTGATTAGATCTATAATCTACAGTCGTCTTTATATAGTATTTAGCGTTTCTCTAGAAACTGTTTGGTCAAATGGTTCGAATCTGTCCCTTGTGAATGTGCACTACCAGTGGGGGACCTCTGGATGTATCACATTGGGTAATCATTATGAACTACAATGACAGTTAGATAAGCCATCACAGCCTACTATTTCTGGTGCAGTACTGCATGCAAACATTCCAGTGTCAAGTTCATTGATCTGGGCAAAGTTGACCTAGGGAGATCTTTTAATGAATGAACCTTTATAAGACAGCGATAAATTTATAAAAGTAATTAATTTATAACAGTGATCACTGTATAAGACAGTGATTGATTAATAACAATGATCAATTTATAACAGCGACCATTTTATAACATTGATAAATTTATAACATAGATCAATTTATAGCAGTGATCAATTTGTAACAGTGATTATTTATAACAGTGATCAATTTATAACATTGATCAATTTATAGCAGTGACCAATTTATAACAGTGATTAATTTATATTAATTATTAATTTGTGGTTGGGTAGATGTGAATGATCGGCCAGTGGGCGTGCTCTTTGTGCTTGGGTAGATTGGAATGATCGGCCACTTGACATGCTCTTTGTGCTTGGGTAGATTGGAATGATCGGCCAGTTTGGCGTGATCTTTGTGCTTGGGTAGATTGGAATGATCGGCCAGTTTGGCGTGCTCTTTGTGCTTGGGTAGATTGGAATGATCGGCCAGTGGGCGTGATCTTTGTGCTTGGGTAGATTGGAATGATCGGCCAGTGGGCGTGATCTTTGTGCTTGGGTAGATTGGAATGATCGGCCAGTTGACGTGCTCTTTGTGCTTGGCTAGATTGGAATGGTCGGCCAGTGGGCGTGATCTTTGTGCTTGGGTAGATTGGAATGATCGGCCAGTGGGCGTGCTCTTTGGGCTTGGGTAGATTGGAATCATCTCCCTACACACGTATGTTACACACGTATCATCTCCCTACACACGTATGTTACACACACATCATCTCCCTACACACGTATGTTACACACACATCATCTCACTACACACGTATGTTACACACACATCATCTCCCTACACACGTATGTTACACACACATCATCTCACTACACACGTATGTTACACACACATCTCACTACACACGTATGTTACACACACATCATCTCACTACACACGTATGTTACACACATATCTCACTACACACGTATGTTACACACACATCATCTCCCTACACACGTATGTTACACACACATCATCTCCCTACACACGTATGTTACACACGTATCATCTCCCTACACACGTATGTTACACACACATCATCTCCCTACACACGTATGTGACACACGTATTATCCCCCTACACACGTATGTGACACACATTTGTTTGTTTACATGTCTTACAAACCATGCAAAAAAATGCACATATTTTAAATGTCTTTTATTTGAATGGTTTCAATTGAATACGTATGAAAATAAGTATGAAAATAAGTATGAAAGTATGTACTTATGTTAGGAACACGATGAAAAAATGATGGATGTATTTAAGAAACTGGTGGATATAGTTTTTAAAAAATGATGGATGCAATTGAAAAAAAATGATGCAGTTGAAAAAATGATGGATGTAGTTGAAAAAAATGATGCAGTTGAAAAAATGATGGATGTAGTTGAAAAAAAAAGATGGATGTAGTTCCTGGGACATTGAATGGAACGTAGGAAAGGTAGAAAGACAATGCAAAGAACTGAAAGACGTCTGTCAAACTAATCGGTCACAATGTGCTTACAATTAACATGATGTTGAAACGCCTCATCGAAAATTTAATTTGAGTGCTTTGTGGTCTCAGAAATGACAAAAGAGTAGAATCTAGATTTTTTTTGTTGGGGGGGGGGGGTTCTAAATCATGGGTTCTCAAGCTTTTTTTATGGTACTACTTTTAAAAAAAAAATTCAGCTGAAAATTCATGAGCTACGTTAGCAAGTTCTGAAAGTCTCAATGTCATAGGTTAGGATTTCTGTTTACATTCATCAGTACCTCCTGCTACAGCTACTTTCGTGAGTACGATCGAGTACCACATACGACAGCTACATTCATGAGTATCACCTACTACAGCTACATTCTTTCTGACTTATTTTTATATGAGCTAACATAACTATTCAAATGTAAAGCTAAAATTCTCTTGGTATCTTAGGCCTTGTTGATAATTTTTTTTAAAAAAAGCTACTGTCTCCTGTAACGGTCTCTCATTGAATACGATATTATGATAGGGCATGTCATGATCACCTTGTTATGATCACCTTTTCCAACCAGACTCTCACCTTCTTGACCACCACTATTATACATATTCTAATATCACCGTTTAGCTTCCAATGAAATGTCGGCATTATTCAATGCAGTGGCGTAGACAAGTGATGAGGAGAGGGTGGGCCGTCCGGGAGTCACTTTTCTGCCTTTATACCGAGGGGGGACTTTTCGGCCAACTGCAGAGTTTGTTCGAGAAGCGGTGAGGCAAAAATCTTGGCCTACTCCAACCCTAGCTCCGCACACTGATTTGACGTCACGTGTCACGTTCCCGTTTTTGAAGAGTTCAGATTTAAAAGTGAAAGTAGAACTCCTCGTCAATCTCGGCCCGACCCGCCAAAATCTCGGCTGCCAAATGTTTCGGTATCGTCGTGGCATTGAGAGTGGCGCACTCGTAGGGGCAGGCCGGCACACAGGACGGCGTCCTGGAGCTTCTTCGACTGATCTGAATGTTGGGCATGTCCCTGGGCAGTTCCCTCGGCAGGGGCGATTGAGCTCTGGTCCTGCCGCCCGCGCTGACCCCACTCACGAGCGTGCTTTGCGCGTGATAGTCCCTCTGCTCCTGACCCCCGAGCTCCTCGAAGAAAAACGTGTTGAAAAGGTGCGGGTCGGGGGTCAGGGATAAACTGGAGACCGACGACCGCTGGTCCATCCACGCCGGGTACCCGGGGTAGAACGGATCGATCCTCACGGGCTTGCTCCGCCGTTTGCGCACGCAGATGACCAGGCAGGCGACGATGAAAGCCAACGCCATGCTACCGGCGATGTAAATCAGCAGGAGGGGGATGAACGACCCGTGGATCAGCGTGTACAGCTGCTCTTCTTTAGTTGACGTCATGTCCGTTTTCGGTGCGGCGATGTTGACCCCTTCGCATTTGGTTTGGACCACCGTCAGATCCTCGTCCAGCATCGTGATGCAGGCCTCCTGCTGGATGCTTCTATCAAACGGGGAGAATGTGTAGGACGTGGTATCCGGAGACACCGAAACCGATTCGATCTCGAAGGAATCGTTGCACCTCTTCAGAACCACTCGGTAACCACCGGTTATGCCCCCGGCTCTGGTCGCCCATTTGACGTGGAGAGATACGGGGTTCGGGTGAGTGATGTTCAAACTTAAAATATGGAGACTAGCTGGGGTAGTCGGCGAGGTGGTTCTCGCGGTAGTTTCCGTTCTCCACGGGAGATTGTACAACATCAGGCAGCTCGGCTCTATTGCTGAGGAACCCACGCATTTGAAATCAACAAATTCTAATTCGGAAAACAGTTTCTTCGGCGCGCCTTTGCTGGCGGATGCACAGCGCCAGTGGTTGGTCCACTCGTTTGGCCCAGAGCTGACCAGCTGCAGCCATCTGAACAGCCACGACAGGCTGCAGTTGCAGGACAGCGGGTTCTCTTCCAGCCGTACTTCCGACAGATCTTTAAAGACGAAAAACGCGCAGTCCGTAATGGTATGAAGTCGATTCCGTGAAAGGTCGAGAAACCGCAATGAAGAATTTATTTTTGAAACAGACCCAGACAGGAACTCTGATATCGTATTATTGGATAAATCGGCCGAAACTAACCGACGCAAGCCCTTAAAAAGGTTCAGATGAACGCGATCTATTCGGTTGAAGCTGAGATCGATATCGTTGAGGGATGACAAGTGCGAGATCGCTTCCAAATCACCGGAAATGATTTCCGATCGGCTCAGGTCGATAAAATTCAACGTTTCAGTTAGTCCACTAAACGTTTCAGACTTCAGGGTCCCGCCTAAGTAAGTATTGTTCAGATTTAAATACTCCAGTTTCATGAAATCAGAGAACGCCCCTGGTTCGATAAGTTCCAGTGGGTTTGCGTGAACGTCCAGACGAACCAACGACGAGGCGATCCCCGCGAAGCTGCGTTGAACCACAACGGCAATGTCGTTGTGGGCCAGACTAAGCCAAGTCAGGTACCGCAGTCCGATAAACTCTTCCCCGGAGAGTGAAGAAATGTTGTTAGAGCTCAGGTCTAAATGGCGGACAGTTTTGAGGTACCTCAGGGACTTCAACGCCTCCTCATTCAGGGCGTTATCATGTAAATCAAGCTCTTCAAGAGAGAAGTCCAAATTATAAAAAGCTCCCCCGGCCATGTAAATCATTTTATTATTGGCCAAACTCAGACGGCGCAGTCTGGTGAGATGCGCGATGGCGTGGTTGTCCAGGAGTTGAATGTCGTTCGATGAAAGGTCAAGGTCTGTTAGGTTTTCCACCGAGTTGATCTCTTTGATGTGCTGAAACCGGATGGAGTTCCCCGCGAGGACCAGTCGCTTCAAATTCGTTAAAAGCGCGAACGCCCCAGGTTGAATGTGAGCTATGCGACAGCCAATCAGCTGCAGCTCTTCAAGATTTCTCAGATTCCGGAAGAGCTCGGTGTACAGCTCTTGCTGTTTGCAGCCCGAGATGTGCAGACTCCGGAGATGCTTGAGTCGTGACAAGGCAAGAGTAGGAAGGCCCTCCAACGCATAGAGCTGTATGGACAATGACGCCAAGGAGTTCTCCAGCCCAAGGAAAGCATCTTCGTGAACGGATGTGACGGCGTTGTCCAAGAGGTCGAGCTTCTCAATGTGGAGCCCCTCAAAGCCCCTGGCGGGCAGACTTCTGATGCTGTTGTAGCTTTGGAAGAAACGTGGAAATTTTATTGTTAAAAAAAGAAGCACCATTTAAACACATTTTTATTAACAAATAAAGACACTAAGCTCTAACAGGCTTTAAATACTGTGTCATCAGAGGCGTCACGTGACCCTTGTAGGCCCACAGCCAATTTTCAGTTGTGAGCCCTCGGCTTTCAAAGTTATAGTTTAAATTATTTTCCACAAAACTTTCCTTATATATTCGCCCCCCCCCCCCCTTAGCATCTGCAGTATCCACGCGATGGCTCTGTTCTTAATAGTGAAATAAGTTAAAACTTTATCAAAAACCCATAATCTGTAACTTTTTGGAACACAATGATTGAAGAATAAGAAATAGTTTATCTCTAAAACATAGCAAACAGCATAAGAAAAATCATGAATTTATGCTGAAAATAATATATGACATCACATTGTTGTATAAACTTTAAGAGTTCACATCGCAAAGGTCAACATCGCACTGAAGTGTAGACATAAGTAATTATGGGAATCTTGGATTGAGACGGAAGTTCTGCTTTGATATCACTACGCCATCTCTTAGGTGAGTACTTTTTATTTTCATGATTGCAATTTTAAACAGACATATTTCGCAATAAGTTCTTGAAAATCATTGACATTGTTAAAGAAAAAATAAAGGGACTTAAAGACCTGAAGCCAAATATCACATTTCACGTCAGCAGCATTGATGAAAGTAACTGATAAAAAGTGGAACTTGAAGACATCCGGAAAACGCACACATAATTACAAGAGATTCATTGAAAAATTGGGTGAAACAGTTGAATATTGAGTTAACATAGAAAAAACAGTGCACCATTTTTAAAAAAAAATTATGCGTTCAGGGTCAAAATCGACCATCTTTTCTGGTCTATTGGGATTTATATGACCCAATTGTGCCACCCTCAATTTTTGTGGCACGGAAAACATTTAGGCGACAGTCTGCTATGTAAACAAGACCATTTCAATATGTATGGTAGGATTACATTAATTATAAAGGGCTTAAACTAAAGCAAACAGAAATAAAAAATAGTTCACTAGTACAGCCAGTTATAAAATATAAATAGAATCAAAAGAACTCAAGACTAACCTTAAGGACAGCTCCTTGACTCTGCCATCAAACGAAAGAAATTTCGGAAGGCTGGAGAGATAGAGATTTCTGCAGTTGATGATCAGGGCGCCATCTTTTGACTCGCACGTGCAAGGGTACGCTGGACAGTAGACGAAGCCCCGCTCTACTGAATACGTCACGTGCAGGACAGCCAAGAGTAACAACACTGCCACGGTCACTTGAAGCATCATCGTTGGTTCAGATTATGACCTGGTCGCTAACCTTTGCCCCTGAAAACCTGCAGAGAGAGAGACTAAACTTAATAACTAAGGTGTGTATTAGCGTGGCCAGGAAGAGAGCAGAGCATCGGGACCCCAACCCCCTCCTCAATGACATTAACTTTTCATAAATCTTATTTTAAACATTAATTTAAATTAATTCTAGATTTTTAGTAGCAATAATAAATATATTTAAAGCTTCACTTGAAATCAAACGTGGCTACTAAAAAAAAAAAAAACCGATGGTCTTAAGAACTTGTTTTAGATTTTTTAATATTTTTTTTTATGCAATGTAAAATGAAATATTTACATAATTTTAAAATTAAATAGTAATATTTTCTTGTTCAGGTAGAAAAATAATACTTGAGTCCTACAGCTGGAAATGAAAATACATATTTAATGATTGAATATTGACGTTAAGTATGGGCGCACCTTCATATCTATATTAGTATGTTGATGAGACATTTATACATTTAAAGCATACATTTGGAACATACATTTAGAACATACATTTAGAACATACATTTAGAACATACATTTAGAAAATACATTTAGAACATACATTTGGAACATACATTTAGAAAATACATTTAGAACATACATTTGGAACATACATTTAGAAAATACATTTAGAACATACATTTGGAACATACATTTAGAAAATACATTTAGAACATACATTTAGAACATACATTTAGAAAATACATTTGGAACATACATTTAGAACATACATTTAGAACATACATTTAGAACATACATTTAGAACATACATTTAGAACATACATTTAGAACATACATTTAGAACATACATTTAGAACATACCGCTATAAAACGATATCTTACTTCTGTAAAATGAAGATCTGTTGAAAGAATTTCCAAAAGATAGAATGAATCCACTTCATCCAGTTTCTAACTTTCACCAAAACAAACTAGCCGCCAGAAATATCTCTTTAATTCTAAGAATGACGTCTGTCACAAGGATGCTCCTGTCACAAGGATGCTCCTATCAAACCGTTCAACTACGTGTCAAGCTAGCACCGTATGAAGTCACAATGAAACAAGTTTCAACAAAATGAACCCAGTAGGGTAGCACATGGAACTGTAACCCTTGGTGGAGATCAACAGCTTTAGGCTACTTTTCTTGCTCTACCTCGCGCCACTGTCATTCGCCAACTAATCTCGTTACAACTAAGCCCCCATGCTACTCACACGACGATAGTATACCATTAAGCTCCTTACAGGTGACACCCACCCCCACCCCTTGACTCTCCAACCCCCTTCCCGGTGTCAGTTTTAGTAAACAAATATTTACTTTCCATTAAACTGTCCGCACCACCCTTCTCCCCCCCCAACTCTCTCCTGCCCTCCCTCACCTTCCATTCCTGCCAAAGCTCTAATCCCAATATGCTTTCCTTGTATTTGATCTTCAATGAACCGGCCGGACAGAGAGGTGAAACAACGGACATGTCTGTTGAGCATCGCCTCATTCAATCCACGGAAATATCAATATTGTGCAGGTCCCGAAATGTTCCCATTGTGTTGGAACAAAGAATAAAAAATCCCCACTCCACCTCCCCCCCCCCCCCCCCCCCCCCTTTGGAAAAAAAAATAAAAAACCCCCACCCCCCCCCCCCCCCCCCCCCCCCCCCCCCCAAAAAAAAAACAACAGGCTTTGACCAGAGTTAAGATTTCCGTCTTGTGCACATGTCCATTGTTTGGATGGAAGTCTATAATTAAACTGTCTCGATCTCAAATCTAGGAATCATGCCATTCGGCCATTTTTGATCATGCTATTTCAAAATTAACATTGTCGAGACGCTAGTAATTAACGTCACTTCTCAGAGGCTACTGGCGCGATCAATACCTTTTCGACCCCCTTTTCCCAGAAAACATGTACAAACTTTTTTTTTTTTTGGTTAGCCCCCATAACACAAAGTTTATGACATTGGGGCCCCGTGCGCGATCTGCGACAATCATATCCCATAATGCCGTTGTCATTTGTCTTAGAAGCTAAATTATATGGAGTTCTAAAACGTAGGCATTTTAATCAGAATCAACATAAATAATTCTCTATGTGACAATGTCACCAACACTACCAGATGGCGCCTTTTTAATTTATTAAAAAAATTTCCCGATAACTGCGCTAAAAGAGATTTTTGTTTAAATAGCGCAAATGCGCTTGATGCGCAAAATGTTCTTTTGTTTTACGGAGATGGTTTCCAATTGAATATGGTGTAATAAATCTGCCGTGTAATGGGGGTGGGGCATTAGAATAATAATATCGTACGGGGGGGGGGGCGGCTACCGAGGGCGGGTAGCACAACTGACTAATTTGGTGCGTTTCTTTAATATTATATGTTTGGTCAAGTAACTTATAGAGATGCGAAGTTCACGCATTGAGTCTGCCATTGTTAGGCGGGCTATAGCTATTTTATAAATAGATCTTCACACTCTTCACAAACTATGAGTTTGATAATCTGGTGCCCCCCCCCAACCCCCTAGGGGGCCACAATTATTAGCCATGTCATTGTAACGTCTTAAATCAGATTAAATCATCCAATGACCTACTTCGAGTAGCTCCTTCAGATAGTACCATAATTCGTATGTCACAAACATAAAAACCTCATTGGGAAAACAACAACAACATAACATTAAAAAGGTAGCCCCCCCCCCCACCCCCCCTCTAACCCTACCACCAGGAAGTTTTGAGCTCGTGACCATTGTTATCAATCAAAACAGTCGAACCAAAAATAACGCGAGATTCAGCGAGACAGTGCGGAATCCAAACGTGCCCGCTCCCATTCACTCTCTAAATCAACAATTCATTTTTATGAACATTTGCATTCCTATCTGAAGAACGCGGCTGAATTTCACCTCGCCCACCAAGGACTTCCGTTTCTTCTGTCAACATGGCGGCTGGTGCCACACTGTTAAACTATTTCAGTTTCATAAAAGCATAGTGCGACATTGCTAAGGTTTTTCCGTCTCTCCGCCTCCCAGCCTCCCTTTTATTTCTTTTATGTTTTTGCGGACAACGATAGTACAGACCGGTGTTCGACCATCTCATTGTCGTTGATTCCTCTGACAGCAGACGAGCGTACGAGAGGCGTGGCCAGAGAATATTTTTCAACCTTGTGCTTGTGACGTGACCTTGACATTTTAGAACATTGCGCATAATTTTTTTACATAACTTAATTCAATTTAAAAAAAAGATGAATCACTTGTAATCCAAATAATGTCGTCACAAACATATATTTTTAAAAGAAACTTTTATCCAGAGAGATAATTCAGAATTTTGCCCGGGGTGGGGGGGGGGGGGGGCGCAAGTCATTTTTTTCTTTTTTTTCCCTCTAGATACCGACTTTTAAATTCCAAGGTAAGGGATGGCGATGGATTTGCTCTGGGTACATTTGGGAGGGGTGGGGAGGGGGAGAGCCTTACCTCAGAGATGTCCGAAAGAAACACTGGTTCAGATTGGGACCTAACAGGCATGTTCAGATTGGGACCTAACAGGCTTGTTCTGATTTGGACCTAACAGGCACTTTGTCACTAATAATGGCAATAAACATACTACCAGCTCAACGTGGCGTCACTCGGTCCGGTAAACTCGTGGTGTCAGCCCCCACCCACCCCCACCCCCGCCGATTTCCGCGATGGATTTCTTCTTGTTAAACAAAGTCCACAGTACAAAAATGACAAGGACATAAAAAAAAATTAATTGAAGGTCAGGAGGTAAATGTATTTAAGAACTGTAACTTGTACTTAGAATCGCCCATTGTTATCAATGGATAGCTTTATTTCTCAGAATTTAGATAAATATTGCTTCCTGTCACTTACAAAAGTTACTGAACACTTCTTTCGGCGTTAAATCATGGTCAAAACGATTTGTTTCTGACCTAATAATAAGGGAATTTAATTGCCGACACACCAACCTTGAACTTTTAATAAAACACGCATTTTGATTGGTTACATGTGTGGAAAATGTACGTGTCATCGGTTATCCTTTTATGACATTCGGTTGGAACGAGCAGTGTGTGCTCTATAAATATGCAATTGTTCAATTCGTTGTTGCCCTCCGAGATGGAGTCACCCGGTGCGGTCCACACCCCATAGTTATGCCACTGCCAGCTCGCCATACAAGCCATCCACAAATGGACTTGCTGAAAGCTTCTAAAAATGATTCTGTAAATATGGCACTAAATTAGCTCGTTTCTTACTAGCTTTTCGGAATGTGCAGCACGATACAAGAAACCAAGTGTTGAAGAATCTGTGTCCAAATCTCAAACTAAACAATGTGAACTCCACAGTAGACATTTTTCGTGAATTCTTTTCTGGACAATCAGTTTTTGTTTGAGACTGCAGGAACGGACAGAAATGGATTAGTGGAAAAATAGTAAAGAGAACTGGTCCTCTATCTTACATTATTGAAACGCATCCATGATTAGCTGTCTCAGAAATGTGGATCAAGTAAGATCTACATTAGCAGTTAGCACCCACTCCAACAAAACTTCCCAAGGACGTTCATGCAGAATGCTAATACTGGTACTTCACCAATTCCACAGAATGCTAATACTGGTACTTCACCACTGCCACGGAATGCTAAAATTGGTGGGCCACTTCACGAATTCCCCAGGATGCTAATACTGGTACTTCAGCAGTTCCAGAAAATATCTTTCCTGGTCTCTCTGCAGTTCCAGGAGAAAAACAACTAATTCTTCGAATATCTCAATACCTACTATTGTTAATGAACCAAATATTGTATTGAGAAGATCTCGAAGACACGTAACACTAACAAACAAGACTAATCAGTGAATTATAATTAATTTTCAAATTGTTTTCCCTCATGCACTGAAATTTGTCTTCAAAATGAACTAGGAAATGTTTACTGTTATGAGTAGAAGTAGTACAACTGTAATGTAATCTTTTTTTAGGGTATATAAAATTGGTGCATCATAAAGACCGACACCGGTTAATTTGCATATATGTTACTTTTGTAACGAAAAGATAAGAGAGTTACTCTTCATTTCACGAGTAAAACGGATGAGACTCACAGTCACAATCACCGCTATTACTTGTTTGGTAACGTCAATTAAATAAATTAATTAACTAAATAAAGGTATAAATAAATTAACCCACGCTAAAATACATCTCAGTAACAAATAAGTCCCCCGACTAGTCGTCTTACCTGGCACGAATAGTCCGAGCAGCAACGAGATCCCAGAACTAAGAAACTTTCAAAATGTGAGCGCCAAGAGTTAAGGCCGAGGAAGATCAGACTTTGAAACAATAGTGGACCTTGCTATGTATTGAACTGCAGCCCATAAATGAAGACAGAGAATTTTGCATAGAAGCATAAAAACATTAGATCAGCTGACTGAACAGTTATGGTTGGATGGCTTTACAATCAGTATACTAATGGGCTCAACCTTCGTACTTCGTCTTTTGCCAAGGCACAGATCCACTTGATTGAAGGACAACATCATACATCACCCATTCTGGTGAAACTCGTTAGAGTACAAAATGATCACTATGGCAAACATATTGATGTTTTGTTTTGTATGACATTACATCACTTATGCTTTATCAGTCAAGACCAAGATGTTAAAGCAAGAGTTCCCGTTGGGTTGATTGCCGCTAATGGTCCATTGATGACCATTGCCGATGCATGTTGAAAACAGAGTCAGCCTGCCTGATAATGATTGGGTGGTGGCCACAGGGCACGAGCTAATTCCTTCGGTCTATGCTGGAATCCAGATTCAATCCAATAGCCTAGGAAAGTGAGAATGTTGGCTATTCAGGACTGACCTACATTGCAATTAGATCTGGAAAACATTCTTCATCAACAACATTCAGCTATGGACAACAATTGGATAAACTAATTAGCCTCAAGGAGTTTGTCATTATTACAAAGAGCGGTTTTAATCGTTTGGCAAAACGAATTTTTGTGATAACAATTGTTGGTAGCTGAGATGAGAATCCAAGACGACCAAGATACCAATAAGTAATTAAAGTAGCTGTCCACCACTTTTATCACTATGAGTTTAATGCATTGTTTATTGCAACCAGTGCTCCAGGAAGGAATGCTTTCAATCAAGTGGAGAGGAAAACTGTACAGTAGTTATTTAAATGAACTAGGAATTACCCTCGAGCCAGATTTAGAGAAAAATAATTTTCATTATGCAGGAAACACTCTTGCTGAAATTTGCTCAAAATTGATG